CTCCAGAGATGACTCCAGCAGTAAAGTGTATCTGCAGATGAACAGTCTGAAGGCCGAGGACACAGCAGTGTATTACTGTGCCAGAAGAGACACAGTGAGAGACAGTAACAGGAGAGTCGTACAAAAACTACTTCCTCTATTCAATACCACCACTTGAACATTAAATAGATCCTTAACTACATTTATTGCAATGCTCATATTTTTTAAAAGGCGGCCCTTTTCCACTATTACATTATCCAATGATATAACATATATTGTAGGTACATTACAAACTCTTCAAGTTCTTCTCATGAGAAAAGGACAAAAATAAAACCATCTATAGCAAAAACAGAATGAACTGTCATTAGTAAACCACTCAAATAAAAAGATCACATAAGTGGTTTTGTTTTACATATATTTTAAGGATAATAATAGCAATGTAACTCTGTCTGTGACACTTATAACACTGATTTGAGAAACATACAGAAAAAACTAATTCACTGCCCTTAATAAAGTATTTAAATATACATTTCAGGTGTGCTGTTTTGTTTAGTAATGGATATTGAATATGGAATAAAGGTTTTGACAAGACCTGGTGTAAAAATAATCAAAAAAATGTTAATGATCTGTTTTTGCAAAAATAAAGTACACAAAGTTGATTCTAGACTCTTGAAACACTGAGGTGATTGTGTTCTTGTGATAGTAACAATAACAGGCTCCATTTTCTATCTCCAGTCCGATTCATATTCATATGCAATGTGTTTGGTTCTATGCAAACTCAGTCATCTCCATTGTGATTCAGTTATAAGGCCTTCACATGAGACTGTCAGTGGAGATTAAAGGGGATCAGGAGCTCACGTCTTCTCAGAGTCATCATCATCATCATCATCATCATCATCATCATCATCATCATCATCATCATCATCATCATCATCATCATCATCCTCATCATGTTCTCTGTAGCTCTGCTGCTGCTGCTGGCAGCTGCAAGTGAGTCTCTCTCTGCACGAGTCAACACTTATTCTACTGCTGTTTAACAGGATAACCTGTCATATTATTTTTATTTTTATTTGTACAGGTGTGAAGTGTGAACAGTTGACACAGCCAGCCTCTGTGACTGTGCAGCCAGGTCAACGTCTGACCATCCCCTGTCAGGTCTCTTATTCTGTGGGCAGCTAGTACACAGCCTGGATCAGACAGCCTGCAGGGAAAGGACTGGAGTGGATTATCGGCGCACGTGTTGGACACTACACATACCAAAAAGATTCACTGAAGAGCAAGTTCAGTATCGACTTAGACTCTTCCAGCAACACAGTGACTCTGAACGGACAGAGCGTGCAGCCTGGAGACTCTGCTGTGTATTACTGTGCCAGAGACACACTGTGACACACACCATCAGTAGAGCTGTACAAAAACCCCTCAGAGCCTGAACACTTGTAACATGAAGCCACCAGAGGAGGAGCCCTCAGACCAGAAATGATCTCAACACCAGCTCACTGTTACATCATCAGTTTAAACATTTAGAGGTTATAATCACTGATACATTACTGTATGTATTCCCAGAATACAAGACAAATAAAAATGACAAATTGTCGAACATTAAACTTCTCAAGTAGACCTTATAAAATAAAATCAGCTGAATTGGTTTCAGTAGATGAATTGCTCTAAATGTTAGATTTGTAACAGGATCTATTCCCCTAAAAATAGTAGTAGTAGTCAGTACAAGCTACGAGACAAAACTGATTTTATTTTTGGATGTCACAATTTCTTATGAAAAAAATGCATTAATTGTTGTACTGATTATAGTGACATACAACGTCAGCTTTGATAAAAAGTATGGGATGCTGTTTGTCTATTTCAAACCTAGCCTGCAAAGTGATATACAAACGCTACATGATATGAAACTAAATCATAACAATTTGAATACAATTTTTCAATAAACAGCAGCAGAAATTCAAGTTGCATCGGAAGAAACTTAATTAAATAAGAAATGTAAATGTAACAAAGCAATATAAGGATAACATTGATATCAGGTTAAAATGTTGACAAAATCAACATTTAGAGAGATATATTTTTTAGGTAAATATTAGTGTGAACAGAGGACAATGTTCAATCAGAAAGGAGGAGTCAATGCAAAACTCAGATATCTCCCCCTCTACTTATGTGACTGCAGAGAGGAGGACAGAGGACAGAGGACACACAGTTTAACATGATGGACTATAGGACAGGACTGCTGCTGCTCACTGTCTGCTGGGCAGGTCAACATCTTTACTGATCTTTATCTAACACAGATTTTAATTGTGTCACCAGCTTATTTCACCAGATGTGTTTTTATCCTCTTGACAGGTGTTGATGGTCAGACTCTGACAGAATCTGAACCAGTGACTAAAAGACCTGGAGAATCTCACAGATTGACCTGTACAGCCTCTGGATTCACATTCAGTAGCTACTACATGGCCTGGGTCAGACAGGCTCCTGGGAAAGGACTGGAGTGGGTTGCGAGTATGTATAACAGTGACAATATCTTCTACTCTGAGTCAGTGAAAGGCCGGTTCACCATCTCCAGAGACGACAACAGACAGCAGGTGTCTCTGCAGATGAGCAGTCTGACGGCTGTAGACTAGGCTGTTTATTACTGTGCTCGACACACAGTGACTGAAGCTGGTTGAGCAGCTGTACAAAAACCTACAGCACCTATTCTTATCTCGATAAACTCTCAAAATCAATTATATTCTTCATGTATCTTTTGCTTTGGCTGTATATAATAAAATTATGAAATTCAGCCTTGAGAGAGATCATCAATTACCAGCAATGTTTAATTAACACATTGTTAGAACAATATTATCGATGTGTTGATCGCTGGAACACAAAATAGCCAAGGAGAAAAAAACTAAAAGGTCTCCTGAAATCAATGTCCAAAAAAGGAATAAAATAAACACTACATGAACACATTTCAGCCACATAATGCATATATATGGGAGTCAAATAATGTAGAAGCTGCTCTCATAAAGACACTAGAGAGTTCCCCTCTCCTCTGTCAGTAAAAGGAAACACTCAGATCTGCTGCTCTCACTGATCTTAACTCACACTCAGACCCTGCTCTGAACTACAGTTTTATATTCTCACCCTGTGAGAGGTTGCTTCATTATAACACACAAAAAACATTTTAATAGCTGGATCAGAATTCACTGCAGATTTATGAGTTCATTTAGTCGTAGTTCTCCCTCAAACAGATTTCAAGATATCAGGCATTCTATTGGTTGAGAACAGTCACAAAATAAATAAATGTACACAGAAGGATTTACTAATGTTATTTGAGATTTATATATAAATGTCTGCATCCACACAAATATTTTTCAATGCATACACAAATACTTATAGTTTTATATGAATGTAAAAACGTTTTCACAAATGTAAAACATTTTTAAGAGGGAAGTGTCAGTAGCCAATCAGATGTCTGCTTAATTGTAAGCCAATCAAATGATTGCGTCCCCACTGATAGATATTCTACACAACTCAAAACTAATTAGAGAAAATACTTAACAGCTGAGATGGAGAGTTGATATTTTTTACAAACCCTGTGAGGAGGAGTCAATGCAAAACTCAGATATCTCCCCCTCTACTTATGTGACTGCAGGGAGGAGGACAGAGGACAGAGGACACACAGTTTAACATGATGGACTATAGGACAGGACTGCTGCTGCTCACTGTCTGCTGGGCAGGTCAACATCTTTACTGATCTTTATCTAACACAGATTTTAATTGTGTCAACAGCTTATTTCACCAGATGTGTTTTTATCCTCTTGACAGGTGTTGATGGTCAGACTCTGACAGAATCTGAACCAGTGACTAAAAGGCCTGGAGAATCTCACAGATTGACCTGTACAGCCTCTGGATTCACATTCAGTAGCTACGGCATGAACTGGGTCAGACAGGCTCCTGGAAAAGGACTGGAGTGGATCGCTTACACCTATAGTTCTTCTATCTATTACTCCCAGTCGGTCCAGGGTAGATTCACTATCTCCAGAGATGACTCCAGCAGTAAAGTGTATCTGCAGATGAACAGTCTGAAGGCCGAGGACACAGCAGTGTATTACTGTGCCAGAAGAGACACAGTGAGAGACAGTAACAGGAGAGTCGTACAAAAACTACTTCCTCTATTTACCACCACCCATGAGAGCATTCACTTTATGTTGAAATACTGAGTAACTGAATATTGACATCCTATTTCATCTCATTTGACGCAATGTTTAATTCAGTTGCAACCTAAAGAAATATAGTGAATTCTAACAGAAAAATATGTATTTCTGTTTATTTTGTGTCTCCAACAAAATGTATCACAGATAATGTAAAAATGTCCCATTTCAAACAACGCAGCTGTTTATCTGATTCAATATGGTTCAACTGTGCTCATGTATCTCATAGAAGTACATTCATGAAAGCACACTTTGATAACATTACACATTAAAAAAACATCTATTTGATTTGCCGATTGAACACAAATCATCATTATATCATACACATTATTATCAGGAAAGCTTCATCTGTTTGAACGTGAAACATTACTGTAACATAACCACCAAATGAAGCAAATTTTATATTTAACACTGGAGACAAACAACTGATTCCAGTCAGCTAACTGGCAAACTTTAATCCACTGTAAACACATTTGAGAAGTTGATTAAATAAAAAATATATATTAATAATGTTTCAGAAGCAGCTCTGATCATCTAATCTCTAACCCAAATGAAATCAAATACACCTGGTATTAATGGTTACTTAATTAATTTAGTTTATTGTCGTATTGGATGTAGGCCTAGGTCTTTTCCCTATGGCAATCAAAATCATTATACTTTACATTAAGTCTATTTTTTGTCCCTTCACAAATGGCCTTGCAAAGTTATTCTGAAAAAAACATTCACACTTAGTTAAAGGAGGAGTCAATGCAAAACTCAGATATCTCCCCCTCTACTTATGTGACTGCAGAGAGGAGGACAGACGACAGAGGACACACAGTTTAACATGATGGACTATAGGACAGGACTGCTGCTGCTCACTGTCTGCTGGGCAGGTCAACATCTTTACTGATCTTTATCTAACACAGATTCTAATTGTGTCAACAGCTTATTTCACCAGATGTGTTTTTATCCTCTTGACAGGTGTTGGTGGTCAGACTCTGACAGAATCTGATCCAGTGACTAAAAGGCCTGGAGAATCTCACAGATTGACCTGTACAGCCTCTGGATTCACATTCACTAGCTACTACATGGCCTGGGTCAGACAGGCTCCTGGGAAAGGACTGGAGTGGGTTGCTACTATCACCAATGGTGGTAGCACCCCGTACTACTCTGAGTCATTTAAAGGCCGGTTCACCATCTCCAGAGACAACAACAGACAGCAGGTGTCTCTGCAGATGAACAGTCTGACGGCTGTAGACTCTGCTGTTTATTACTGTGCTCGAGACACACAGTGACTGAAGCTGGTTGAGCAGCTGTACAAAAACCTACAGTCCTCATCCATACTTTGTTGATAGAGTACAAGGAGAATTATACTTTGACTAAGTCTTTCCTTGTTGTAGTTTTTATGAAAATGAAAAAAACAGTTGCTACTGAGCCAAGTTACAAAACACAATAATAAAAAATAAATGTTTTTAATTAAATAATTTCTCATAAAACAGCCAAGGATAGGAAAAACATCTTCTAAATGTATTTTTCATGTATGGGCAAAAATAAACATTAAATGTAGAAATGTCAGTCACATTACTCACACAAGTACCAACAGGTGGCAGTAGAGGATAAAAAGACAGATGACAATAACGGGAATGTGACAATGTCTCTAAACGTATACTATAAAAGGCTTGAGGCTTTCCTGCAACAATAATATAACCCATTATTAATTTCCTAACAGCAGGTATCAATAATATATTTATGCATGATGTTTCCAGTATGTGGAGGATGGGCAACCAATGTTGTGCAAAGCAGAATAAATGATTACATCTTATTTAGGTTTAAATAAAAGGAACTGACAAAGAACTTTAAATTCAACCTTTTAATTTAAGGATATATACATTCAGTCATAGTATGCAAAAAGGAAATCTACATCATATATATTCAGGGGATGTGCTGTGTTTCTGTTTGAGGAGGAGGAGTCAATGCAAACTCTGACCTCTTCCATCTCTACATATGTGTTGCAGAGTGAAGGACAGACACTAAATCACTGACATACACACTGTAGACTGGACAGAGACAACTGGCTTTCACAATGATCAGACCTGATTATCTGGTGGTTTTTCTCATCCTGTCAATTAACTCTGCAGGTAAGAACAACACCTGTTTTTCTGACAGAGCTCCTGGTACAAAGACAATATGGCTGCTTTACAGAAACTAATGAGCTGTTTACATGTCTGTAGGTACTGAGGGTCAAACACTGACTGAGTCTGAACCAGAGGTTAAAAAGCCTGGAGAGTCCCACAGACTGACCTGCACATATTCAGGGTTTGGTACTAGTCATTATGATACTGCTTGGATCAGACAGGCTGCTGGAAAAGGACTGGAGTGGATCGCTTATATCAGCAGTGGCAGTAGCTACATCTACTACTCTGAGTCAGTGAAAGGCCGGTTCACCATCTCCAGAGACAACAACAGACAGCAGGTGTATCTGCAGATGAGCAGTCTGAAGGCCGAGGACACAGCAGTGTATTACTGTGCCAGGAGAGACACAGTGAGAGACAGTAACAGGAGAGTCGTACAAAAACGACTTCCTCTAAATTTACCTCTAAAATCCTATTTATCTCATTTAACGCAATGTTTAATTCAGTTGCAACCTAAAGAAATATAGTGAATTCTAACAGATCATTTGTATGTTTTGAAGGAAATATGTATTTTTGTGTCTTTTGTGCCTCCAACTAAACATATAAAAAATAATATAAAATATCCCATTTCACACAACACAGCTGTTTAGCTGATTCAGCATGGTTAAACTGTGCCCATGTATCTCTAGAAGTACATTAATGAATGCACACTTTGATAAGATTAATACACATCTTTTTACTTTGCTGATTGTACACCAATCATCATTATATCATAAACATTATCAGCAGGAAAGCTTTATCTGTTTGAATTGAGTATTTTGATCATATCATAATTTGTATGCATATTTCGTAACTCCAAGCTGTATAAACTTGAATGTGTATTGGATTTAAGCATATATATATATATATCCTTTATTTAACCAGGTAAAAGTCTCATTGAGATTAAAATCAGGTGATGTCTAATGAGGGAGGGTGTGGCCTATATCACGGTGTGCACAATTATAAGTCAGTTCCTTTGTCTCATGCAAAATGGGCCAAAAAATAGATTTAACTGACTCTGAAAAGTCAAAACTGCAAAAAGTATTTCAGAGGGATGCAGCACTCTTGAGATTGCTCAGATATTTGGGCGTGATCACATAACCTTCAAACGTTTGGTGCAAATGGTTAATGGGGTCAGAAGAAACGTATTGAGAAAAAGACGCAAATGAACTGCCAAAGATTTGAGAAGAATCAAACGTGAAGCTACCAGGAAGCCATTATCCTCCAGTGCTGTTATATTCAAGAACTGCAACCTACCCGGAGTGCCCAGGAGTACAAGATGTTCAGTGCTCAGAGACAATAAAGGTTAGGAAGGCTGAAACCCGAGCACAACTGACCAAGACACATAAGATAAAATGTCAAGACTGGGCCAAGAAATATCTAAACACAGATTTTCCAAAGGTTTCATGGACTGATGAGATGAGAGTGACTCTTGACGGACCAGATAGATGGTCCGTGGCTGGATCAGTAACGGGCCCAGAGCTCTACTTCGATGCCAGCAAGGTGGAGGAGGGGTTCTGGTATGGGCTGGAATTATAAAAAATGACTAGAAAGTCAACTCCCAAATATACTGCCAGTTTTTAGAAGACATTTTCTTCAAGCAGTGGTACAGGAAAAGTCTGCATCTTTCAAGAAGACCATTATTTGTATGCAGGACAAATATTGTTTGTTTTATTATTCTCTCTTTAACAGATGAAAAAAGTGAGATGGGAGCATTTTAGTTTTTTTATTTAGTTGCATAATAAGTTTGCACACTAATAGTTGCTCAATAATTGTACACACATATGTTATCCTATAAAAGGCAAAACCTCATTTTTACTTTCTTAAATATCCAGATTTGAGGTTTATTAACATGTGTGATGGACCGAGAGCACTGTAGTTGTTCAATAATAAATGAATGCACAAAAATACCACTTGCCTAATACGTGTGCACACAGTGTAGGTGGGTCTCTCTGCCATCATCCAACACATGCACCAACACATATTTGTTTCTACATGGAGAGTGATTGCTGTACATTTAAACATTCATTCTCCAAATTTCATCAAACGTTAAGGACTACCCCTCAATCTGTAAAGCAAGGAGAGGGTTTCCTCGTACTTTACATGAAGTCTACTTTTTGGTGCTTTATCAATGGCCTTGCAAAAGGACACACAGTTAAAGGAGGAGTCAATGCAAAACTCAGATATCTCCCCCTCTACTTATGTGACTGCAGAGAGGAGGACAGAGGACAGAGGACACACAGTTTAACATGATGGACTATAGGACAGGACTGCTGCTGCTCACTGTCTGCTGGGCAGGTCAACATCTTTACTGATCTTTATCTAACACAGATTTTAATTGTGTCACCAGCTTATTTCACCAGATGTGTTTTTATCCTCTTGACAGGTGTTGATGGTCAGACTCTGACAGAATCTGAACCAGTGACTAAAAGGCCTGGAGAATCTCACAGATTGACCTGTACAGCCTCTGGATTCAACTTTGGAGGCTCAGTATGGAACTGGATCAGACAGGCTCCTGGGAAAGGACTGGAGTGGATCGCTTATATCAGCACAAGCAGTAATCCAATCTATTACTCTCAGTCGGTCCAGGGTAGATTCACTATCTCCAGAGATGACTCCAGCAGTAAAGTGTATCTGCAGATGAACAGTCTGAAGGCCGAGGACACAGCAGTGTATTACTGTGCCAGAGACACACAGTGAGAGACAGTAACAGGAGAGTCGTACAAAAACTACTTCCTCTATTTACCACCACCTATGGGAATATTAACTTTCTTCAGTATCTCTTTTAGAAATACTGACTAACTGAATATTGACATCCTATTTCATCTCATTTTACGCAATGTTTAATTCAGTTGCAGCCTAAAGAAATATAGTGAATTCAAACAGAAAAATATGTATTTTTGTTTCTTTTGTGCCTCCAACAAAATGTATGACAGATAATATAAAAATGTCCCATTTCAAACAATACAGCTGTTTATCTGATTCAGTATGGTTAAGCTGTGCCCATGTATCTCTAGAAGAACATTAATGAAAGCACACTTTGATAACATTACACATTAAACAAATCTATTAGATTTGCCGATTGAACACAAATCATCATTATATCATAAACATTATCATCAGGAAAGTTTTATCTGTTTGAATTTGAAACATTACTGTCACATAACCACAACCAAATGAAGCAAATTCTATATTCAGGGTTCTTACACCTTTTCCAAAGTCAAATTCAAGCACTTTTCAAGCATTTTCAAGGTGCATTTTCAAACTTTTCAAGCATCTTACAGCTGTTGTAAATTACATATTTATATACACATACTTATACTCAAATGATTATTTCCCTACCTCACATTAAATCAGATGTTCTTCATGCTATAAACAACCAAATGTGTGTTTCATAATAGCATTCTATATGAGGATGAAAAATTTAAAATGTTAGAAAAGAAAACTAAGTTTAATATTTCAAAATGTGTGACCCATCTGTACGTAGCAGTGACGTGCGGTGAGGTTCATGGCTGGTGAGGCACTGACTCACTGAGTCAGATTTACAAATATTATATTTTGACCTTAATCGAAATATTCGGTTATTTTCAAAAGCTTTTTTAGTCTGATGCTTCGATTCATTTTAAACAGACCGTTCAACAAAAGGATACCCAAAATCTAAATATTGGATTGTTCTTTCTTAGTAAGATCCCATTTTCATTAGAAATGTGGTCTTACCTTGACTTGAAGATGAAGTCCATGCTATCCTTCTGGACAACAATCTCTATTACTGTTTTGTAAAAGTCCTCCTTATCTTCCTGTAGTTTCAAAAGTCTAGTTTGTTGCTCCCGTCTCTGCGTAGAATAACAGTAGCAACAAGAACCTGTGGGCTCACGTGCGCCCCCTTCAGTGCGGCAGAGGTTATGGCTGCCTCCCCTGGTGCATTTTCATTGCCGTTGAGACCAGCGAGCCTAAATATCATATATACGTGAAATAAGTTATTTAGAGACTATGGATGGCGAGGATAAATGTAATAAAGGGATCTACATACATTACATTGGTGACCTACAGTGAGATGGTAACAGGCATGCGCTTTGGGCCCGCTTTCCAGCCAGTTTCTGTGGGGTGACGCATTCTGAGGTGAGGCAGATCTCATCTGTGCCTCACCTTACCCCACAGTAACTGGCTTGAGCGCGCTCACAAAATAAGTGCCCGCGCTAAATTAGTGCCCGTGCTCCAGCAAGTTACTGTGGGCTTACGAGAGGCAAAGCACGTCCCTGCCTCACTTGTCATCGCTCCCGTAGCGGAGCTCGGCAAATTTGCTGATTTTGACTATAAAAAGCGATTAGAATCATACATAAATCACACTTACAACACAGATCAGTGGAGACATTTTATTATTATTACTATTTCGTTTTTCTTTAGTTGTTTTTCCGTTACATTGGAGTATGACAGGTGAGGCTCTGCCTCCCCTGCCTCCACTGACTGCACGTCGCTGGTACGTAGACTGGGCATCCCATATAACCTGGCTGAGCCAATATAAAACAATCAGCCAAATAACTTTTCAATATATTATTGATTACTATTTTTGAGGTACTTTTAGGTTGGCAGTAAACACAAGTCAGAGGTAAATGGTGCACTTCTCCACTACATGTATTTAATACCTTTAGTTACTTTACAGATGTGGATGAATGATGTGAAATATAATCAAGTGTTAAATCAGACTTTAGTTCCACCTGGAGTAAATTCACAAGCTACTCTGTAGTATACAAAGTCATTCAAACTAGCTGCAACTTTACCAGCTTTGATAACACTTTCATGATCAATCATTATAAAACATATCATATACAATTATTAGGGATGCTCCGATCGCCAATTTTGGAGCCGATCGCCGGAATCAGTATCGGCCGATACCGATATCGCTCTCTTTTCCTCTCTCCCCCCCTCTCTCTCTCCTGACAGCCCGTCAGTATCTCCTGCAGCTCACTGATCCAGTAATGAGCGACCCGACAGTGAAGAATAAATATATTTATAACTAGTTTAGCTTGTTCCAGAGGTAGATAAAATAGCTAAGTGTGTTAGGTCTAACTCTTAATGTGTGTTCTGCTCTGCTCACCGGTCCGTCACAGCGGGTGGAGCTGCAGGATTTCTGCTTCACACACACGTTGCATACCGCTATTTTATTGTCATTTTCGGACACTTAAAATACTGCCAGACTAGTGAAGCCATTTTGGCGAGCTTGTTTTGCCGCGCACAGAGAAAAGTGTCATGTATTTTACATGCAACGATAGCCTAATCTAAAATGTTCTACTACAGCGTACCTTTCGTGTGGTGTGTCGCTCGTCAGCGCAGACTCTCGCATCGTTATTGTTGCACACTTTGCAGGAGGCTACTCTTGGGCTTCGCTTGACCGTCGTCTTAGCCATGGCTTGTATTTGTCTTCTGCTAGCCAAGCAACACTCGTTGAAACGGCAACCTCCTGGCATACTGTCATCTATCACTCTCATCAGAATGCCCAGGTCACACACGTAACAAAAACACTTGCCGGTCACGCGCATTGCGCGGGAAGACCGGAGCGGAGCTGTTTTATGTAAAAGCGAAGCAATTAAGCGCGCTCAGACTTCTTTATTTTCTTTTAATCTAAAAAGCGAAGTAAAGCATTTACAATTTCAAGCACTTTATCCCAAATTCAAGCACCATTCCCAAAATTCAAGCACTTTTCAAACCTTGAAAACACCTCGTACAATTTCAAGCATTTTCAAGGATTTCCAGCACCCGTACGCAACCTGTATATTTAACACTGGAGTCAAACAACTGATTCCAGTCAGCTAACTGGCAAACTATAATCCACCGTAAACACATTTGAGAAGTTGATTAAGTACAAATTATATCTTAATAATGTTTCCCTTAAAGAAGCATCTCTGATCAACTAATCTCTAACCCAAATTAAATCAAATACACCTGAGATTAATGGTTAATTAATTTATTGAGTTTATTGTCGTATTGGATGTAGGCCTAGCTGTCCCTCTGGCAATCAAAATCATTATACTTTACATGAAGTCAATTGTTTGTCCCTTTATAAATGGCCTTGCAAAATTATTCTGAAAAAAACACACACCCACTTAGTTATAGGAGGAGTCAATGCAAAACTCAGATATCTCCCCCTCTACTTATGTGACTGCAGAGAGGAGGACAGAGGACAGAGGACACACAGTTTAACATGATGGACTATAGGACAGGACTGCTGCTGCTCACTGTCTGCTGGGCAGGTCAACATCTTTACTGATCTTTATCTAACACAGCTTCTAATTGTGTCACCAGCTTATTTCACCAGATGTGTTTTTATCCTCTTGACAGGTGTTGGTGGTCAGACTCTGACAGAATCTGATTCAGTGACTAAAAGGCCTGGAGAATCTCACAGATTGACCTGTACAGCCTCTGGATTCACATTCAGTAACTACTACATGGCCTGGGTCAGACAGGCTCCTGGGAAAGGACTGGAGTGGATCGCTTCTTTCGACACTGGTAGCACCCCGTACTACTCTGAGTCAGTGAAAGGCCGGTTCACCATCTCCAGAGACAACAGCAGACAGCAGGTGTATCTGCAGATGAGCAGTCTGACGGCTGTCGACTCTGCTGTTTATTACTGTGCTCGACACACAGTGACTGAAGCTGGTTGAGCAGCTGTACAAAAACCCCTCATTATTACCACACTTTTCTCACACTGTTAATGTGAGATTTAGAGTCTTTCAAATATCATGACACAACTTTAGTTACACCAAACACTGTAAGATTAGAAAAATATTTCTTAACATATAGCTTAATGTAGAAATCATATCACTAAATAGAGTTATAATGTTAATTGCAGAACAGAGCCTTATCAAAATGTCTCTTTAGAGAAGACAGCAACAACATTTGAGAAAATTGTCTAATCTGAGATCCTACGTCTTTTAACTTATTTAGTTTGCATTTTTCATGCACTGCAGAAATGTGTTTTTGCACATTGTCAAATAGGTTTCAGTTCCTTAGTAGTTTATGTCCTCTTAAGGCTCCAAGTTTCTCTGTATCTGTCCTCAAATTGCCACTATTTGAATACTGAAACCTTTAAAGTAAGAAAAGAAACAAAACCCAGGTCTTCATCCAGCTGCAGCAAACACAAGTAAACATTTAGACCAGGGCTATTCAATTAGTTTGGAATGGGGGCCAGTTGATGAAAATGATCCAAAGCAAGGGGCCGGGAAAAAGATGGCTTGAAATATGAGCAATCATATTTAAGAGCTTCAGATACAGTAAATACTACAACAGCATAGTGGAGTGCATATATTGTGTTTAATTCAATCAAACAACATAGCCCCAAGGCCTTTATAGATCTAAATGGCAAGTTCAGAACTCAGTAGGCCTACATGTTTCATTTGATTTCATTTAGGTGAAATTATCTAATCATTCACGCAGAGATGCAATCAATGACAGGAGTTGTCACTACAGTATAGTAGGTGGGTTCGAAACCCGAGCCCGTCGAAGTTTTCAGGCATTGTTTACCCCTCTATCTCTCAATGTAACACCCTCTCTGGAATAAAGGCACTATGGCACAAAAAAAAAAAAAAAAAAAATCTTAAAAAAAAAAATTGATTACTTTTTAACATTATACTCAAAGGGCCAGTAAATATCACCCCGGGGCCGGATTTGGCCCGCGGGCCCTCAATTGAATAGCCCTGATTTAGACCATCATGCTTTCCTTCATTGCAGTTACAACATAAAAAGAATAAAAACATATCGTTCAACCAATTTCTGAATTAGTTTCAAATTGTTACAACTAAAACAATGATTAGAAGTAAAGCGTTGATGTTACTCATATGAGTTATAGTCAAATTCAAGAAAATAAATAATCAACTGGATCTTTCGTTGAAAAATAATAATTATAATATTTTAATTTAATCAACAGTTCATTTTTGTCAACAATTGCCTTAAAGAACTATTTGCTGCTAGTTTAAATGATGTTTAATGCTGTTTGTATAGGACTGGAGTGGATCGCTTTCATACACACAGCTAGTATCTATTGCTCCCAGTCGGTCCAGGGTAGATTCACTATCTCCAGAGATGACTCCAGCAGTAAAGTGTATCTGCAGATGAACAGTCTGAAGGCCGAGGACACAGCAGTGTATTACTGTGCCAGAAGAGACAGTGAGAGACAGTAACAGGAGAGTCGTACACAAACTACTTCCTCTATTCAATACCACCACTTGAACATTAAATAGATCCTTAACTACATTTATTGCAATGCTCATATTTTTTTTTAAAAGGCGTCCCTTTTCCACTATTAAAATATCCAATGATATAACATAAGTAATGATGTAGGTACATTAAAAACTCTTCAAGTTCTTTTGATGAAAAAAGGACAAAAATAAAACCATCTATAACAAAAACAGAATGAACTGTCATTAGTAAACCACTCAAGTAAAAAGATCAGTGTTTTTGTTTTACATATATTTTAAGGACAATAATAGCAATGTAACTCTGTCTGTGACACTTATAACACTGATTTGAGAAACATACAGAAAAAATTAATTCACTGCCCTTAATAAAGTATTTAAATATACATTTCAGGTGTGCTGTTTTGTTTTGTAATGGATATTGAATATGGAATAAAGGTTTTGACAAGACCTGGTGTAACAATAATCAAAAAGGACATTAAAAGAGCTCCAGATGTTAATTATCTGTTTTTGTTGATTCTAGACTCTTGAAACACTGAGGTGATTGTATTCTTGTAATCGTAACAATAACAGGCTCCGTTTTTTTTTAATCTCCAATCCGACTCATATTCATATGCAATGTGTTTGGTTCTATGCAAACTCAGTAATCTCCATTGTGATTCAGTTATAAGGCCTTCACATGAGACTGTCAGTGGAGATTAAAGGGGATCAGGAGCTCACGTCTTCTCAGAGTCATCATCATCATGTTCTCTGTAGCTCTGCTGCTGCTGCTGCTGGCAGCTGGAAGTGAGTCTCTCTCTGCACGAGTCAACACTTATTATACTGCTGTTTAATAGGATAACCTGTCATATAACATTTGTTTTATTTGTACAGGTGTGAAGTGTGAACAGTTGACACAGCCAGCCTCTGTGACTGTGCAGCCAGGTCAACGTCTGACCATCACCTGTCAGGTCTCTTATTCTGTTAGCAGCTAGTACACAGCCTGGATCAGACAGCCTGCAGGGAAAGGACTGGAGTGGATAGGAGTGAGAAGAGGTTCAACTACCTTCTATAAAGATTCACTGAAGAGCAAGTTCAGTATCGACTTAGACTCTTCCAGCAACACAGTGACTCTGAACGGACAGAGCGTGCAGCCTGGAGACTCTGCTGTGTATTACTGTGCCAGAGACACACTGTGACACACACCATCAGTAGAGCTGAACAAAAACCCCTCAGAGCCTGAACACTTGTAACATGAAGCCACCAGAGGAGGAGCCCTCAGACCAGAAATGATCTCAACACCAGCTCACTGTTACATCATCAGTTTAAACATTTAGAGGTTATAATCACTGATACATTACTGCATGTATTCCCAGAATAAAAAAATGAATAACTTCTTTAAATTATTAAACATCAGCCTTTTCAAGTATCCATAATTATATATTTTCAGTAATTGGATTTTGTCCTCTAAATTTAAGTTTCTTTACAACCAATTTCAGCTCTAAGAATATTGTTCACACTATTTATTCACAAATACTAAACAGTACTTTTACGAGCCGAAACACAACAACAAATTGTTGGATGTCATTTCTGTTCTTTATTTGACACAAATTGATTAAATATATAAATGTTAAAGACATGAGATGTAGATAAAACCTGTAAAGTGATTTATTTACTAAATTAACTCAAAGCTTTTTTTAATGACAATAATGTGAATACCTTTATTTTAATCAACAGTAAATAAAATCCATTATTTGCTTGTTTCATCTGACAAATCTGAATTAAATAACAATAATAAAATGTTACAAAGTGACTTACAGCCCAATAAGAAATGTTTACCAGTTTATAATTGTAGAGATAATGTTATTAACATAAAATACTGTTAAAAGAGGACAATGTTCAATCAGAAAGGAGGAGTCAATGCAAAACTCAGACATCTCCCCCTCTACTTATGTGACTGCAGAGAGGAGGACAGAGGACAGAGGACACACAGTTTAACATGATGGACTATAGGACAGGACTGCTGCTGCTCACTGTCTGCTGGGCAGGTCAACATCTTTACTGATCTTTATCTAACACAGATTTTAATTGTGTCACCAGCTTATTTCACCAGATGTGTTTTTATCCTCTTGACAGGTGTTGATGGTCAGACTCTGACAGAATCTGAACCAGTGACTAAAAGGCCTGGAGAATCTCACAGATTGACCTGTACAGCCTCTGGATTCACATTAAGTAGCTACTGGATGCACTGGGTCAGACAGGCTCCTGGGAAAGGACTGGAGTGGATCGCTTTGATCCACCCTACTAGCAGTAGCAGCAGCTACTACTCTGAGTCAGTGAAAGGCCGGTTCACCATCTCCAGAGACAACAGCAGACAGCAGCTGTATCTGCAGATGAACAGTCTGACGGCTGTAGACTCTGCTGTTTATTACTGTGCTCGAGACACACAGTGACTGAAGCTGGTTGAGCAGCTGTACAAAAACCTACAGTCCTCATCCATACTTTGTTGATAGAGTACAAGGAGAATTATACTTTGACTAAGTCTTTCCTTGTTGTAGTTTTTATGAAAATGAAAAAAACAGTTGCTACTGAGCCAAGTTACAAAACACAATAATACAAAATAAATGTCTTTAAATAAATAATTTCCTCATAAAATAGCCAAGGACAGGAAAAACATGTTCTAAATGTATTTTTCATGCATGGGCAAAAATAAACAGTAAATGTAGAAATGTCAGTCACATTACTCACACAAGTACCAACAGGTGGCACTAGAGCAGGGGTGGGCATTTTACGGCCCGCGGGCCACATCCGGCCCGTTGGCCGGCCTTGGCCGGCCCGTGTGAGGTTGATCATAAATTATAACATAATGAAAAAAAACAGCAACCTTTTCAAAATAAAAGCAACACAGCTGTATTGCTTGCATGGCGTAAATACTTTTCTAACTGTGTTGCTTTTATTTTGAAAAGGAAGCTGCTGTTTTTTTTATTTATTTACGTAAACGCGCATGCCGTAACAGCTACGAGTGATGCTGGCCGGCTAGTCCTCGAAATGTCCGCTAAGGGCAAAAAAAGAAAGATCGATACTGAATGCCGCGTTTTCAACAAGACATGGACCGCTAAGTATTTATTTACAGAAGTGAAAGGTAAAGCTGTGTGTTTAGTTTGTGGTGCGCAGGTCGCTGTGTTCAAGGAGTACAATTTGAGTCGCCACTATGCTACCAAACACGCAGATAAATACAAGAACCTGTCTGAGGAAGAGTGGGCAAAGGGGTCGGATGCTTTGCTAGCTAAGCTGCAAAGCCAACAACACATTTTCACAAAACATTCCACATCCAGAGATGCAGCTGTCAAGACGAGTTATGTCTTAAAAGTTAACCGTTTTCGGACGAAGAGTTCATTAAGGAGTGTTTGTTGGACACTAATATGCCTGGAGAAAAAGGAGGCATTTGAGAAAGTGCCGCTCTCCCGACGCACTGTTACGAGGAGGATTGAGGACATCGCGGGAAATCTGGAGCTTCAGCTGCAGAACAGAGCGGTCAACTTTGACTTTTTTTCCTTGGCTTTGGATGAGAGCTGCGATGTACGTGACACTGCCCAGCTACTCATCTCCCTACGTGGGATAACTACAGACTTCAAAATCACGGAGGAGCTGGCAGCCATGCAGTCAATGAAAGGTACAACAACAGGGAGTGATTTGTTCACGGAGGTAAATGCATGTGTGGAAAAGTTGGGACTGAAATGGGACAGGCTGGCAGGCGTGACAACGGATGGTTGTCCAAATCTGACAGGAAAAATGTTGGACTATTGAAGAGAATGCAGGATAAAGTGACATAAATTAACCCTGAGCAGAAATAGGTATTTTTGCATTGTATTATACATCAGGAAGTGTTGTGTAAGTCAGTGTTAAAAATTAACCATGTTGTTGATGTTGTAACTAAAATAGTTAACTTCATCAGGGCAAGAGCATTGAATCACAGACAGTTTGTTGCACTTTTGGAGGAAAGTGAGACTGAACATCGTGACATACCCTACCATGCAGCTGTCAGGTGGCTCAGCCTGGGCAAAGTGCTGAAAAGAGTATGGGACCTGAGAGAAGAGATTCAAGACTTCTGTGTGAAGAAAGGAAACAACATCCCACAGCTTTCAGATGCAGACTGGATGGCAGACCTTGGTTTTGCTGTAGATGTGACTGCACTAATGAGTGAACTAAATGTCAAACTGCAAGGCAAGGGCCTTTTTGTGCATGACATGTACAGTGCAGTGAAGGCTTTCATGAGAAAGCTGCAGCTTCTCTCAAGCCAAATGGAGGACAACATTCTCACGCACTTGCCAACACTGAAGGAAGCCACACCATCAGCTGATCACCTCCAGAGGTACTCATCCATGTTAGAAGCACTGCATGGTGAGTTTTCAAGGCGATTTAAAGACTTCAAAACAGTTGAGAATGAAATGAACATGATCTTTTCCCCATTTACATGCCATGTGGATGATGCACCCAGTGATGTTCAGCTTGAACTCATTGACCTGCAGTCTGACACACTTCTGTCAGAGCACTTTAGGTCAGTCTCACTGCCTGAGTTTTACTCTTCCCTGAAAGAGGAGAACTTTCCACACATCAGGAGACGTGCTCAGAAGATGATGGTCCTCTTTGGATCTACCTACATATGTGAACAGACATTCTCAGTGATGAAGTTCAACAAATCCAGATACAGATCCTCTATCACTGATGATCACCTCTCAGCTGTCCTTCGCATATCCACCTCAGACATTGAACCAGATTTCCGTGCACTTGTTCAAGCCCAAGACAGACTGGATTTTTCTCACTGAACAAGTAAAATTAACTGAAAAACAAAAATCAAAAGCACTCATTTCTTTTTGTATAAAGCTGATTCATTTCTTATCTTTAACATACTGGAAAACACCTTTTCAGTATTGGTATATTGAGCAGAATTAAGTTCAACTTATTTTTGATTCGGCCCCCCAACACAGCTCGAGTTTCTGAAGTGGCCCCTTGTAAAAAATAATTGCCCACCCCTGATCTAATCTCTAACCCAAATTAAATCAAATACACATGAGATTAATGGTTAATTATATAATTTAGTTTATTATATTATTGGATGTACAGTAGGCCTAGGTGTGTCCCTCTGTCAATAAAATCATTATACTTTACATGAAGTCTATTTTTTGTCGCTTTAAAAATGGGCTTCCATAATTATTCTTAAAAAGACACACACACTTAGTTATAGGAGGAGTCAATGCAAAACTCAGATATCTCCCCCTCTACTTATGTGACTGCAGAGAGGAGGACAGAGGACAGAGGACACACAGTTTAACATGATGGACTATAGGACAGGACTGCTGCTGCTCACTGTCTGCTGGGCAGGTCAACATCTTTACTGATCTTTATCTAACACAGATTTTAATTGTGTCAACAGCTTATTTCACCAGATGTGTTTTTATCCTCTTGACAGGTGTTGATGGTCAGACTCTGACAGAATCTGATCCAGTGACTAAAAGGCCTGGAGAATCTCACAGATTGACCTGTACAGCCTCTGGATTCACATTCAGTAGCCACTGGATGGCCTGGGTCAGACAGGCTCCTGGAAAAGGACTGGAGTGGGTTGCTACTATGCACCCTACTAGCAGTGCCCACATTTACTACTCTGAGTCAGTGAAAGGCCGGTTCACCATCTCCAGAGACAACAGCAGACAGCAGGTGTATCTGCAGATGAACAGTCTGACGGCTGTAGACTCTGCTGTTTATTACTGTGCTCGACACACAGTGACTGAAGCTGGTTGAGCAGCTGTCCAAAAACCTACAGTCCTCATCCATACTTAGTTGATAGAGTACAAGGATAATTATACTTTGACTAAATCTTTCCTTGCTGTAGTTTTTATGAAAATGAAAAAAAAAGTTGCTACTGAGCCAAGTTACAAAACACAATAATAAAAAAGAAATGTCTTTAAAAAAAGTAATTTCCTCATAAAACAGAAAAAACATCTTCTAAATGTATTTTTCATGTATGGGTAAAAAGAAACATTAAATATAGAAATGTCAGTCACATTACTCACTCAAGTACCAACAGGTGGCAGTAGAGGATAAAAAGACAGATGACAATAACGGGAATATGACAATGTCTCTAAACGTATACTATGAAAGTCTTGAAGCATTCCTGCAACAATCATGTCCCATTATTAATTTCTTAACAGCAGGTATCAATAATATATTTATGCATGATGTTTCCAGTATGTTGAGGATGGGCAACCAATGTTGTGCAAAGCAGAATAAATGATTACATCTTATTTAGGTTTAAATAAAAGGAACTGACAAAGAACTTTAAATTCAACCTTTAAATTTAAGGATATATATACATTCAGTCATAGTATGCAAAAAGGAAATCTACATCATATTTATTCAGGGAATGTGCTGTGTTTCTTTTTGAGGAGGAGGAGTCAATGCAAACTCTGACCTCTTCCATCTCTACATACAGTATGTGTTGCAGAGTGAAGGACAGACACTAAATCACTGACATACACACTGTAGACTGGACAGAGACAACTGGCTTTCACAATGATCAGACCTGATTATCTGGTGGTTTTTCTCATCCTGTCAATTAACTCTGCAGGTAAGAACAAAACCTGTTTTTTTTTTTCTGACAGAGCTCCTGGTACAAAGACAATATGGCTGCATTACAGAAACTAATGAGCTGTTTACATGTCTGTAGGTACTGAGGGTCAAACACTGACTGAGTCTGAACCAGCGGTTAAAAAGCCTGGAGAGTCCCACAGACTGACCTGCACATATTCAGGGTTTAGTGGTCATATTGATACTACTTGGATCAGACAGGTTGCTGGAAAAGGACTGGAGTGGATCGCTTATATCAGCAGTGGCAGTAGCTACATCTACTACTCTGAGTCAGTGAAAGGCCGGTTCACCATCTCCAGAGACAACAACAGACAGCAGGTGTATCTGCAGATGAGCAGTCTGACGGCTGTAGACTCTGCTGTTTATTACTGTGCTCGAGAGACACAGTGACACAGGAAGGAGAAATGCTGTACAAAAACTCAACAAGTTCAAATGCAAATTCAAAACTTTGTGTTCTGCTTCTCACAATCACAAAAAAGCTTGAGATCAACATCATCAAGACACTGAAATAAATATCGCCTCAATAAAACTGCTTCATCAGATAGCAGCTACCAAAAGTTACATCAGACAATAGATATACTGTTTGTCTGAGGTTTGATTGGAAATAAAAAGATCATTTTCATTTCTTGTTTTAAAAAATAAATGTTATTTCATATGTCCCAACACAAATCCAAATGACAACTCTTGACAGGACAGTCCGTCCCTCTTTTATAGGCTGTCAGTGTCCCTCTCTATGCAAAGTGAACTTCCTCACAGTCTGCTATAAAGACTTGATATCATGCTGTCAGCTGCAGCAGAAGAAGAGAAGCTCCATCAGGTCACCTTCAACACCAACCATGTTCTCTGTAGCTCTGCTGCTGCTGCTGGCTGCTGGATCCTGTGAGTCTCACTGAGGCAGAGACACTGACAGAACGCTCACACTGACTGCTCACTGTTATTAACCTCGCTCACTATTCAACATGTTTCCCTCCACAGGTGTGAAGTGTGAACAGTTGATACAGCCAGCCTCTGTGACTGTGCAGCCAGGTCAACGTCTGACCATCACCTGTCAGGTCTCTTATTCCGTTAGTAGTTACTACACAGCCTGGATCAGACAGCCTGCAGGGAAAGGACTGGAGTGGATAGGAATGAGACAAGGTTCAACTACATACTACAAAGATTCACTGAAGAGCAAGTTCAGTATTGAGGTAGACTCTTCCAGCAAAACAATCCCATTGTTAGCTCTGACGACAAGAAGCAATACAGCGACTCTGAACGGACAGAGCGTGCAGCCTGGAGACTCTGCTGTGTATTACTGTGCCAGAGACACACTGTGACACACACCATCAGTAGAGCTGAACAAAAACCCTCAGAGCCTGAACATTGTAACATGAAGCCACCAGAGGAGGAGCCCTCAGACCAGAAATGATCTCAACACCAGCTCACTGTTACATCATCAGTTTAAACATTTAGAGGTTATAATCACTGATACATTACTGTATGTATTCCCAGAATAAAAAAATTATTAATTATTCTTTAAATTGTTACACATCAGCCTTTTCAAGTATCCAGTATTATATATTTTCAGTAATTGGATTTTGTTCTCTAAATTTAAGTTACTTTACAACCAATTTCAGCTCTAATAATATTGTTCACACTATTTATTCACAAATACTAAACAGTACATCTACGAGACAAAACACAAGAAAAAATTGTTGGATGTCAGAGTTTCTTTCCAAAAACAAATGCATGCATTTCTGTTCTTTATTTGACAGAAAATGTAATTTTTGATTAAAAATATAAATGTTAAAGACATGAGATGTTGATAAAACCTGTAAAGTGATTTATTTACTAAATTAACTCAAATCATTTTTTAATGACAATAATGTTAATGCCTTTATTTTAATCAACAGTAAATAAAATCCATTATTTGTTTGTTTCATCGGACAAATTTGAATTGCGACGTGCAGTCAGTGGAGGCAGGGGAGGCAGAGCCTCACCTGTCATACTCCAATGTAACGGAAAAACAATTAAAGAAAAACTAAATAATAATAATAATAAAATGTCTCCACTGATCTTGTGTAAATGTGATTTCTGTATGATTCCAATCGCATTTTATAGTCAAAATCAGCAAATTTGCCGCGCTCCGCTACGGGAGCGATGAGAAGTGAGGCAGGCACGAGCTCTGCCTCTCGTAAGCCCACAGTAACTTGCTGGAGCGCGGGCACTAATTTAGCGCGGCCACTTATTTTGTGAGCGCGCTCAAGCCATTTACTGTGGGGTAGGTGAGGCACAGATGAGATCTGCCTCACTTCAGAATGCGTCACCCCACAGAAACTGGCTGGAAAGCGAACCCTAAGCGCATGCCTGTTCCCATCTCACTGTAGGTCACCAATGTAATGTTTGTAGATCCCTTTATTACATTTATCCTCGCCATCCATAGTCTCTAAATAACTTATTTCACGTATATATGATATTTAGGCTCGCTACACATATACAACGGCAATGAAAAAATCACAAGGGGAGGCAGCCATAACCTCTGCCGCACTGAAGGGGGCGCACGTGAGCCCACAGGTTCTTGTTGCTACTGTTATTCTACCGCAAACAACAAACTCGACTTTTGAAACTACAGGAAGATAAGGACGACTTTTACAAAACAGTAATAGAGATTGTTGTCCAGAAGGATAGCATGGACTTCTATTCATCTTCAAGTCAAGGTAAGACCACAACTGTAATGAAAATGGGATCTTACTTAGAAAGAACAATCCAATATTTAGATTTTGGGTATCCTTTTGTTGATCGGTCTGTTTAAAATTAATCATAGCATCAGACTAAAAAAGCTTTTGAAAATAACAGAATATTTCGATTAAGGTCAAAATAGGCTATAATATTTGTAAATCTGACTCTGAAAGAGTCAGTGCCTCACCAGCCATGAACCTCACCGCACGTCACTGTGAATTACATAACAATCATACAATGATACAAAGTGACTTAGAGACCAATAATAAATGTTTACCAATTTAAATTGTAAGAGATAATGTTATTAACATAAAATACTGTTAAAAGAGGACAATGTTCAATCAGAAAGGAGGAGTCAATGCAAAACTCAGATATCTCCCCCTCTACTTATGTGACTGCAGAGAGGAGGACAGAGGACAGAGGACACACAGTTTAACATGATGGACTATAGGACAGGACTGCTGCTGCTCACTGTCTGCTGGGCAGGTCAACATCTTTACTGATCTTTATCTAACACAGATTTTAATTGTGTCAACAGCTTATTTCACCAGATGTGTTTTTATCCTCTTGACAGGTGTTGATGGTCAGACTCTGACAGAATCTGAACCAGTGACTAAAAGGCCTGGAGAATCTCACAGATTGACCTGTACAGCCTCTGGATTCACATTCAGTAGCCACTGGATGGCCTGGGTCAGACAGGCTCCTGGAAAAGGACTGGAGTGGGTTGCTACTATGCACCCTACTAGCAGTGCCCACATTTACTACTCTGAGTCAGTGAAAGGCCGGTTCACCATCTCCAGAGACAACAGCAGACAGCAGGTGTATCTGCAGATGAGCAGTCTGACGGCTGTAGACTCTGCTGTTTATTACTGTGCTCGACACACAGTGACTGAAGCTGGTTGAGCAGCTGTCCAAAAACCTACAGTCCTCATCCATACTTAGTTGATAGAGTACAAGGATAATTATACTTTGACTAAATCTTTCCTTGCTGTAGTTTTTATGAAAATGAAAAAAAAAGTTGCTACTGAGCCAAGTTACAAAACACAATAATAAAAAAGAAATGTCTTTAAAAAAAGTAATTTCCTCATAAAACAGAAAAAACATCTTCTAAATGTATTTTTCATGTATGGGTAAAAAGAAACATTAAATATAGAAATGTCAGTCACATTACTCACTCAAGTACCAACAGGTGGCAGTAGAGGATAAAAAGACAGATGACAATAACGGGAATATGACAATGTCTCTAAACGTATACTATGAAAGTCTTGAAGCATTCCTGCAACAATCATGTCCCATTATTAATTTCTTAACAGCAGGTATCAATAATATATTTATGCATGATGTTTCCAGTATGTTGAGGATGGGCAACCAATGTTGTGCAAAGCAGAATAAATGATTACATCTTATTTAGGTTTAAATAAAAGGAACTGACAAAGAACTTTAAATTCAACCTTTAAATTTAAGGATATATATACATTCAGTCATAGTATGCAAAAAGGAAATCTACATCATATTTATTCAGGGGATGTGCTGTGTTTCTTTTTGAGGAGGAGGAGTCAATGCAAACTCTGACCTCTTCCATCTCTACATACAGTATGTGTTGCAGAGTGAAGGACAGACACTAAATCACTGACATACACACTGTAGACTGGACAGAGACAACTGGCTTTCACAATGATCAGACCTGATTATCTGGTGGTTTTTCTCATCCTGTCAATTAACTCTGCAGGTAAGAACAAAACCTGTTTTTTTTTTTTCTGACAGAGCTCCTGGTACAAAGACAATATGGCTGCATTACAGAAACTAATGAGCTGTTTACATGTCTGTAGGTACTGAGGGTCAAACACTGACTGAGTCTGAACCAGCGGTTAAAAAGCCTGGAGAGTCCCACAGACTGACCTGCACATATTCAGGGTTTAGTGGTCATATTGATACTACTTGGATCAGACAGGTTGCTGGAAAAGGACTGGAGTGGATCGCTTATATCAGCAGTGGCAGTAGCTACATCTACTACTCTGAGTCAGTGAAAGGCCGGTTCACCATCTCCAGAGACAACAACAGACAGCAGGTGTATCTGCAGATGAGCAGTCTGACGGCTGTAGACTCTGCTGTTTATTACTGTGCTCGAGAGACACAGTGACACAGGAAGGAGAAACGCTGTACAAAAACTCAACAAGTTCAAATGCAAATTCAAAACTTTGTGTTCTGCTTCTCACAATCACAAAAAAGCTTGAGATCAACATCATCAAGACACTGAAAGAAATATCGCCTCAATAAAACTGCTTCATCAGATAGCAGCTACCAAAAGTTACATCAGACAATAGATATACTGTTTGTCTGAGGTTTGATTGGAAATAAAAAGATCATTTTCATTTCTTGTTTTAAAAATAAATGTTATTTCATATGTCCCAACACAAATCCAAATGACAACTCTTGACAGGACAGTCCGTCCCTCTTTTATAGGCTGTCAGTGTCCCTCTCTATGCAAAGTGAACTTCCTCACAGTCTGCTATAAAGACTTGATATCATGCTGTCAGCTGCAGCAGAAGAAGAGAAGCTCCATCAGGTCACCTTCAACACCAACCATGTTCTCTGTAGCTCTGCTGCTGCTGCTGGCTGCTGGATCCTGTGAGTCTCACTGAGGCAGAGACACTGACAGAACGCTCACACTGACTGCTCACTGTTATTAACCTCGCTCACTATTCAACATGTTTCCCTCCACAGGTGTGAAGTGTGAGCAGTTGATACAGCCAGCCTCTGTGACTGTGCAGCCAGGTCAACGTCTGACCATCACCTGTCAGGTCTCTTATTCCGTTAGTAGTTACTACACAGCCTGGATCAGACAGCCTGCAGGGAAAGGACTGGAGTGGATAGGAATGAGACAAGGTTCAACTACATACTACAAAGATTCACTGAAGAGCAAGTTCAGTATTGAGGTAGACTCTTCCAGCAAAACAATCCCATTGTTAGCTCTGACGACAAGAAGCAATACAGCGACTCTGAACGGACAGAGCGTGCAGCCTGGAGACTCTGCTGTGTATTACTGTGCCAGAGACACACTGTGACACACACCATCAGTAGAGCTGAACAAAAACCCTCAGAGCCTGAACATTGTAACATGAAGCCACCAGAGGAGGAGCCCTCAGACCAGAAATGATCTCAACACCAGCTCACTGTTACATCATCAGTTTAAACATTTAGAGGTTATAATCACTGATACATTACTGTATGTATTCCCAGAATAAAAAAATTATTAATTATTCTTTAAATTGTTACACATCAGCCTTTTCAAGTATCCAGTATTATATATTTTCAGTAATTGGATTTTGTTCTCTAAATTTAAGTTACTTTACAACCAATTTCAGCTCTAATAATATTGTTCACACTATTTATTCACAAATACTAAACAGTACATCTACGAGACAAAACACAAGAAAAAATTGTTGGATGTCAGAGTTTCTTTCCAAAAACAAATGCATGCATTTCTGTTCTTTATTTGACAGAAAATGTAATTTTTGATTAAAAATATAAATGTTAAAGACATGAGATGTTGATAAAACCTGTAAAGTGATTTATTTACTAAATTAACTCAAATCATTTTTTAATGACAATAATGTTAATGCCTTTATTTTAATCAACAGTAAATAAAATCCATTATTTGTTTGTTTCATCGGACAAATTTGAATTGCGACGTGCAGTCAGTGGAGGCAGGGGAGGCAGAGCCTCACCTGTCATACTCCAATGTAACGGAAAAACAATTAAAGAAAAACTAAATAATAATAATAATAAAATGTCTCCACTGATCTTGTGTAAATGTGATTTCTGTATGATTCCAATCGCATTTTATAGTCAAAATCAGCAAATTTGCTGAGCTCCGCTACGGGAGCGATGAGAAGTGAGGCAGGCACGAGCTCTGCCTCTCGTAAGCCCACAGTAACTTGCTGGAGCGCGGGCACTAATTTAGCGCGGCCACTTATTTTGTGAGCGCGCTCAAGCCATTTACTGTGGGGTAGGTGAGGCACAGATGAGATCTGCCTCACTTCAGAATGCGTCACCCCACAGAAACTGGCTGGAAAGCGAACCCTAAGCGCATGCCTGTTCCCATCTCACTGTAGGTCACCAATGTAATGTTTGTAGATCCCTTTATTACATTTATCCTCGCCATCCATAGTCTCTAAATAACTTATTTCACGTATATATGATATTTAGGCTCGCTACACATATACAACGGCAATGAAAAAATCACAAGGGGAGGCAGCCATAACCTCTGCCGCACTGAAGGGGGCGCACGTGAGCCCACAGGTTCTTGTTGCTACTGTTATTCTACCGCAAACAACAAACTCGACTTTTGAAACTACAGGAAGATAAGGACGACTTTTACAAAACAGTAATAGAGATTGTTGTCCAGAAGGATAGCATGGACTTCTATTCATCTTCAAGTCAAGGTAAGACCACAACTGTAATGAAAATGGGATCTTACTTAGAAAGAACAATCCAATATTTAGATTTTGGGTATCCTTTTGTTGATCGGTCTGTTTAAAATTAATCATAGCATCAGACTAAAAAAGCTTTTGAAAATAACAGAATATTTCGATTAAGGTCAAAATAGGCTATAATATTTGTAAATCTGACTCTGAAAGAGTCAGTGCCTCACCAGCCATGAACCTCACCGCACGTCACTGTGAATTACATAACAATCATACAATGATACAAAGTGACTTAGAGACCAATAATAAATGTTTACCAATTTAAATTGTAAGAGATAATGTTATTAACATAAAATACTGTTAAAAGAGGACAATGTTCAATCAGAAAGGAGGAGTCAATGCAAAACTCAGATATCTCCCCCTCTACTTATGTGACTGCAGAGAGGAGGACAGAGGACAGAGGACACACAGTTTAACATGATGGACTATAGGACAGGACTGCTGCTGCTCACTGTCTGCTGGGCAGGTCAACATCTTTACTGATCTTTATCTAACACAGATTTTGATTGTGTCAACAGCTTATTTCACCAAATGTGTTTTTATCCTCTTGACAGGTGTTGATGGTCAGACTCTGACAGAATCTGAACCAGTGACTAAAAGGCCTGGAGAATCTCACAGATTGACCTGTACAGCCTCTGGATTCACATTCAGTAGCTACTGGATGGCCTGGGTCAGACAGGCTCCTGGGAAAGGACTGGAGTGGGTCGCTTATATCAGCAGTAGCGGTGGCACCCAGTACTACTCTGAGTCAGTGAAAGGCCGGTTCACCATCTCCAGAGACAACAACATACAGCAGGTGTATCTGCAGGTGAGCAGTTTGATGGCTGTAGACTCTGCTGTTTATTACTGTGCTCGAGACACACAGTGATACAGGAAGCCACAGAGCTGTACAAAAACCAGTGAGTTTTTCAGTGGGATTAACCAACAGAGAGTGAAAGTCATTTTTCACCTTAATTCAGGATATCTTATATACACAAGATGTGAATACTTCCCTGCACGCAATGCTTCTGTCACAAGACGTCTTTAGTGTTAAAAGAAAAAAAAAATTAGGGTCAAAGGTTACCGCAAGAGGGCGACACTGGTGGAAGTCCCCAGTGAAGTTATGCAAAAACCTTGAAGATTTTGTTTTTAACAATGTCTAATGGGGTACAGCAGAAAGTTTAAAATATCATGGCAGTAAGAGCCAGGAGGAATTATGTCACTAATTCCACTAAAAAAAGAAAAACTCCAAATGTAGATTATTTTGTGTTTTTTACTTCCTACTTGTGTTTGAATCTGACTTTAGTGAGAAAGTTCATGACCGAATGTGTTTTTCTTCCTCTGTGTTATAAGAAGACCCTATAGCTAGGGGGTCTTTTTTTTATAATACCGTAGGCTCCTTAAACATTTGAGTGATCAAAATGACGAAGAGATCCCCAAATGTCTTTTCTCAGGCCTCTGCATGTGATAACTACATATTATATTGAACACAACAAAATATCTAAATATAACATGTGAGCAGGGGAGTACACAGTCTGAGACTCCAATAGTTCTTGGAGGGTGTGAAGAAGGATCTTGCGGGTTACCATGAAAAACACAGCAGAAAGATCCAGAAGGATGATGACAGAGGAGAGCGATGCAGATGCTGCTCTAACAGTGTGACGTTCTTAATTGACAGGGAGGAGGACGATCTCAGTTGAGTGCAACCAGCAACTGATCAAAATGTCAACAAGTCAAAACTTTGTGTTCTGCTTCTCACAACCACAGAACAAGCTTCAGTTCAACATCATCAAGACACTAAAAGAAACATTGTCTTAATAAAACTGCTTCATTCAGATTGTAGCTTCACAAAATATAGTCAAAGCAGAATTTAAATATTCTTTTAATCTGAGTGTAAATGTGAGTCTGTTTGCCTGATATGTCTGTTAGAAGCTTTGTGAAGAATACAACAATGAACTTTCAGTTATCGTTTTAAAAAGAATATCATTTCTTTCACATGTCCAACAACAAATCCAAATTTGGACTGCTCGAGACAGGACAGTCCGTCCCTCTTTTATAGCCTGTCAGTGTCCCTCTCTATGCAAAGTGAACTTCCTCACAGTCTGCTATAAAGACTTGATATCATGCTGTCAGCTGCAGCAGAAGAAGAGAAGCTCCATCAGGTCACCTTCATCAACACCAACCATGTTCTCTGTAGCTCTGCTGCTGCTGCTGGCTGCTGGATCCTGTGAGTCTCACTGAGGCAGAGACACTGACAGAACGCTCACACTGACTGCTCACTGTTATTAACCTCGCTCACTATTCAACATGTTTCCCTCCACAGGTGTGAAGTGTGAGCAGTTGATACAGCCAGCCTCTGTGACTGTGCAGCCAGGTCAACGTCTGACCATCACCTGTCAGGTCTCTTATTCTGTTAGCAGCCACTACACAGCCTGGATCAGACAGCCTGCAGGGAAAGGACTGGAGTGGATAGGTAGCAAATACACTGGAGCTACATTATATAAAGATTCACTGAAGAGCAAGTTCAGTATCGACTTAGACTCTTCCAGCAACACAGTGACTCTGAACGGACAGAGCGTGCAGCCTGGAGACTCTGCTGTGTATTACTGTGCCAGAGACACACTGTGACACACACCATCAGTAGAGCTGAACAAAAACTCCTCAGAGCCTGAACACTTGTAACATGAAGCCACCAGAGGAGGAGCCCTCAGACCAGAAATGATCTCAACACCAGCTCACTGTTACATCATCAGTTTAAACATTTAGAGGTTATAATCACTGATACATTACTGTATGTATTCCCAGAATACAAGACAAATAAAAATGACAAATTGTCGACCATTAAACTTCTCAAGTAGACCTTATAAAATAAAATAAGCTGAATTGGTTTCAGTAGATGAATTGCTCTAAATGTTAGATTTGTAACAGGATGTATTCCCCTAAAAATAGTAGTAGTAGTCAGTACAAGCTACGAGCCAAAACTGATTTTATTTTTGGATGTCACAATTTCTTATGAAAAAAAATGCATTAATTGCTGTACTGGGATGCTGTTTGTCTATTTCAAACCTAGCCTGCAAAGTGATATACACGCTACATGATATGAAACTAAATCATAACAATTTGAATACAATTTTTCAATAAACAGCAGCAGAAATTCAAGTTGCATCGGAAGAAACTTAATTAAATAAGAAATGTAAATGTAACAAAGCAATATAAGGATAACATTGATATCAGGTTAAAATGTTGACAAAATCAACATTTAGAGAGATATATGTTTTAGGTAAATATTAGTGTGAACAGAGGACAATGTTCAATCAGAAAGGAGGAGTCAATGCAAAACTCAGATATCTCCCCCTCTACTTATGTGGCTGCAGAGAGGAGGACAGAGGACAGAGGACACACAGTTTAACATGATGGACTATAGGACAGGACTGCTGCTGCTCACTGTCTGCTGGGCAGGTCAACATCTTTACTGATCTTTATCTAACACAGCTTCTAATTGTGTCAACAGCTTATTTCACCAGATGTGTTTTTATCCTCTTGACAGGTGTTGATGGTCAGACTCTGACAGAATCTGATTCAGTGACTAAAAGGCCTGGAGAATCTCACAGATTGACCTGTACAGCCTCTGGATTCACATTCAGTGACTACTACATGCACTGGATCAGACAGGCTCCTGGAAAAGGATTGGAGTGGATCGCTATTATCGGCACAAGCAGTTCTCCGATCCGTTACTCCCAGTCGGTCCAGGGTAGATTCACTATCTCCAGAGATGACTCCAGCAGTAAAGTGTATCTGCAGATGAACAGTCTGAAGGCCGAGGACACAGCAGTGTATTACTGTGCCAGAGACACACAGTGAGAGACAGTAACAGGAGAGTCGTACAAAAACTACTTCCTCTATTTACCACCACCCATGAGAGCATTCACTTTATATTGAAATACTGAGTAACTGAATATTGACATCCTATTTCATCTCATTTGACGCAATGTTTAATTCAGTTGCAACCTAAAGACATATAGTGAATTCAAACAGAATATAAGTATTTTTGTGTCTTTTGTGCCTCCAACTAAATATATCAAATATAATATAAAATGTTCCATTTCAAACAACGCAGCTGTTTATCTGATTCAGTATGGTTAAACTGTGCCCATGTATCTCTAGAAGTACATTAATGAAAGCACACTTTGATAACATTAAACATTAAAAAACATCTGTTTGATTTGCCGATTGAACACAAATCATCATTATATCATAAACATTATCATCAGGAAAGCTTCATCTGTTTGAATTTGAAGCATTACTGTAACATAACCACAACCAAATGAAGCAAATTCTATATTTAACACTGGAGACAAACAACTGATTCCAGTCAGCTAACTGGCAAACTTTAATCCACCGTAAACACATTTGAGAAGTTGATTCAATAAAAAATATATATTAATAATGTTTCCCTTAAAGAAGCAGCTCTGATCATCTAATCTCTAACCCAGATTAAATCAAATACACCTTTGATTAATGGTTAGTTAATTAATTGAGTTTATTGTCATATTGGATGTAGGCCTAGCTGTCCCTCTGGCAATCAAAATCATTATACTTTACATGAAGTCAATTGTTTGTCCCTTTATAAATGGCCTTGCAAAATTATTCTGAAAAAAACACACCCTTAGTTATAGGAGGAGTCAATGCAAAACTCAGATATCTCCCCCTCTACTTATGTGACTGCAGAGAGGAGGACAGAGGACAGAGGACACACAGTTTAACATGATGGACTATAGGACAGGACTGCTGCTGCTCACTGTCTGCTGGGCAGGTCAACATCTTTACTGATCTTTATCTAACACAGCTTTTAATTGTGTCACCAGCTTATTTCACCAGATGTGTTTTTATCCTCTTGACAGGTGTTGATGGTCAGACTCTGACAGAATCTGAACCAGTGACTAAAAGGCCTGGAGAATCTCACAGATTGACCTGTACTACTTCTGGATTCACATTAAATAGCCACTACATCGCCTGGGTCAGACAGGCTGAAGGAAAAGGACTGGAGTGGATCGCTTCGATCGTTGGTGGCAGCATCTTCTACTCTGAGTCAGTGAAAGGCCGGTTCACCGGCTCCAACAACATACAGCAGGTGTATCTGCAGATGAACAGTCTGACGGCTGTAGACTCTGCTGTTTATTACTGTGCTCGAGACACACAGTGACTGAAGCTGGTTGAGCAGCTGTACAAAAAACCCTCATTATTACCACACTTTTCTCACACTGTTAATGTGAGATTTGGAGTCTTTCCAATATCATGACACAACTTAAGTTACACCAAACAATGTAACAATGTAAAACATATTTCTTAACAGATATCTGAATGTAGAAATCATATCACTAAATAGAGTTATCATGTTTATTGCAGAACAGAGCCTTATCAAAATGTCTCTTTAGAGAAGACAGCAGCTGAACCATAAAAAGCATTTATGTGCGAACATTTAGAAAATGGTCTAATCTGAGATCCTACGTCTTTTACTTATTTAGTTTGCATTTTTCATGCACTGCAGAAATGTGTTTTTGCACATTGTCAAATAGGTTTCAGTTCCTTAGTAGTTTATGTCCTCTGAAGGCTCCAAGTTTCTCTGTATCTGTCCTCAAATTGCCACTATTTGAATAATGAAACCTTTAAAGTAAAAAAAGAAACAAAACCCAGGTCTTCATCCAGCTGCAGCAAACACAAGTAAACATTTACACCATCATGCTTTCCTTCATTGCAGTTACAACATAAAAAGAATACAAAACATATCGTTCAACCAATTTCTGAATTAGTTTCAAATTGTTACAACTAAAACAATGATTAGAATTAAAGCTTTTATGTTACTCATATGAGTTATAGTCAAATTCAAGAAAAAAAATCTGCTGGAGCCTTAGTTGTAAAAGAATAATTATAGTAAGTTTATTGTAATCAACAGTTCATTTTTGTCAACAATTGCCTTAAATAACTATTTGCTGATAGTTTAAATGATGTTTAATGCTGTTTGTATAGCCTTGAATTTGACTTTTAAAGCAGAATGCAAAGTAGGAGGAGCTAATCGTCAAATGAATTCTCAAAGGGATCAAGTTTACTTCATATTTAAAGAGGGACTCAAGCTTTTGAAAACACAAGAAACTGTGTGAACATGGCTCAGGGAAAGCTAACACTCTTGGTGGTTGCTCTGTTTGTTTGGTCTGTCGCTGAAGGTCAGACCATAACTGAGTCTGAACCAGCAGTCAGGAAACCCGGAGAATCTCACAGACTCACCTGCACAACATCTGGATTCAACTTTGGAGGCTCAGTATGGAACTGGATCAGACAGGCTCCTGGGAAAGGACTGGAGTGGATCGCTTTCATACACACAGCTAGTACTCCTATCTATTACTCCCAGTCGGTCCAGGGTAGATTCACTATCTCCAGAGATGACTCCAGCAGTAAAGTGTATCTGCAGATGAACAGTCTGAAGGCCGAGGACACAGCAGTGTATTACTGTGCCAGAAGAGACACAGTGAGAGACAGTAACAGGAGAGTCGTACACAAACTACTTCCTCTATTTATCACCACCCTTTAGAGCATTCACTTTATATTGAAATGAGTAACTGAATATTGACATCCTATTTCATCTCATTTCACGCAAAGTTTAATTCAGTTGCAACCTAAAGACATATAGTGAATTCAAACAGAAATATGTATTATTGTTTCTTTTGTGCCTCCAACAAAATGTATCAAATATAATATAATAATGTCCCATTTCAAACAACGCAGCTGTTTATCTGATTCAGTATGGTTAAACTGTGCCCATGTATCTCTAGAAGTACATTAATGAAAGCACACTTTGATAACATTAAACAGTAAAAAACATCTGTTTGATTTGCCGATTGAACACCAATCATCATTATATCATAAACATTATCATCAGGAAAGCTTTATCTGTTTGAATTTGAAACATTACTGTAACATAACCACAACCAAATGAAGCAAATTCTATATTTAACACTGGAGACAAACAACTGATTCCAGTCAGCTAACTGCCAAACTTTAATCCACCGTAAACACATTGGAGAAGTTGATTCAATAAAAAATATATATTCATAAAGTTTCCCTTAAAGAAGCAGCTCTGATCATCTAATCTCTAACCCAGATTAAATCAAATACACCTGAGATTAATGGTTAGTTAATTAATTGAGTTTATTGTCATATTGGATGTAGGCCTAGCTGTCCCTCTGGCAATCAAAATCATTATACTTTACATGAAGTCAATTGTTTGTCCCTTTATAAATGGCCTTGCAAAATTATTCTGAAAAAAACACACACACTTAGTTATAGGAGGAGTCAATGCAAAACTCAGATATCTCCCCCTCTACTTATGTGACTGCAGGGAGGAGGACAGAGGACAGAGGACACACAGTTTAACATGATGGACTATAGGACAGGACTGCTGCTGCTCACTGTCTGCTGGGCAGGTCAACATCTTTACTGATCTTTATCTAACACAGATTTTAATTGTGTCACCAGCTTATTTCACCAGATGTGTTTTTATCCTCTTTACAGGTGTTGATGGTCAGACTCTGACAGAATCTGATTCAGTGACTAAAAGTCCTGGAGAATCTCACAGATTGACCTGTACAGCCTCTGGATTCACATTCAGTAGCTCCTACATGGCCTGGGTCAGACAGGCTCCTGGGAAAGGACTGGAGTGGATCGCTTATATCTACACTGATGGTAGCAACCAGTTCTACTCTGAGTCAGTGAAAGGCCGGTTCACCATCTCCAGAGACAACAGCATACAGCAGCTGTATCTGCAGATGAGCAGTCTGACGGCTGTAGACTCTGCTGTTTATTACTGTGCTCGAGAGACACAGTGACTGAAGCTGGTTGAGCAGCTGTACAAAAACCCCTCATTATTACCACAGTTTTCTCACACTGTTAATGTGAGATTTGGAGTCTTTCAAATATCATGACACAACTTTAGTTACACCAAACAATGTACAAAATATTTCTTAAAGCTCCCATGTCATGCTTTTCCGGTTATTACCCGTCCCCTTGTGTGTTATGAAGGTTTTTATGCATGTAAACGGTGTGCAGAGTCAAAACCCTCAAAGTACACCCTGTAGCGAGTAAAACTCCCCAAAACGCCTCGTTGGAGATACGTCACTGCCCATTTGAGTCTTCCATTTAGTTCCGGGTACGGCATGATGTCATGCGGTACCCGGAACGAAATGGACCAATCCCGAAGAGCTATGGCCACATCCAGCGGCGCTGGCCGCACCCTCTGCCAGCCTAACATTTACTGTTGGAAGCTCTGGTTCAGTTCACAATCGATCCAGTCATGCCAATGCCAAGGACCTGTTTCCTGAAATGTGAGGAGAAATCTGAGCTGTTTGTCCTACCGACGGAAGAACCACGACGAAGTCAGTGGTTGAAATTTCTTTTTAACACTGTTCCTTCAGAGGTTCGAAGAACCGGCATTTCACAGACGAAAGCTTCCAAAACATTGACCAGTTTGAAGCCGGATATGCACAGCATTTGAAACTGAAGAACGATGCTATTCCTAGTTTGTTTGGACCGTTTGGAGCAGGGGAAGATTCGGGTACACAACCTGTAAGTTTGCATTGTTATTTGTGTATTTATCAAACAAGACTGTTTAAATGTGTAAACTGTGTTGGACTGCTAAGCTATTGACACAGTGCTAACTGTGCTAACTAAGTTGCTAGCGTTTCCATATATCAACTCTAATATCAGCAGATGGCCTTGCATACATGTATCTCATAGCAGGAGAATGTCTGCATTCACACACAAAATACCTATTGACAGTATACTCCGGGTGATTTGCCGTGCGGTCAGTCGCGAAACGTAATTACATTATAGCTGGCGTAGCGTGTATGCTACCGATCTAACCGACAGAGCTAGACCTTAGTTTGATCGGAAAAACATTTTTGTTATGCTACGTTGCTAGCGTTTAAATATGTCAACTACAATGTCAGCAGATGGCCTTACATGTTTGTCATGGCAGGAGAATGTCTGCAGTCACACACACGGAATACTCATACAGTATACTCCGGGTGATTTACCGTACATTGTGACAGTACATGTACTGCATGTATAGCTAACGAGGCTAGCTGTATGCTAGCGCAAAACAATGTATTCATGCAAGTTACAATGTATGACCGAACGTAGCAGAATACCCGTATAAGATTGCAATTATAAACACGTTATTGCTAGCCTAATATGAACCACTAGCTTTTGTTCATAGTAGTTTTATTACACTACATTATAGTTGCCGTTCCTCCGAGCTAGCTTTCATATCGTGTTAGCTACCAAAGTAAACAATAAAGCTAGGTTAGCATATTAGCTGGCAAGCTGTTCATTAGATAGATCCACACTCCTACCACAACTACTACTAACGAATCTAAAACAACTAAGTTTCTCTAATATTTTGTGATTTGCATTTGATTTCGTCCAGCCAGATCCTGGCGGACAATACATGATGGGGACGGGACTACTACTACTGAGGCCTCGTGCTAAAAGGCACCGGCTGCGCCCAGGCAAGATGCGGGGAGGAATGGATGATATACCGTGTGTATATATGTATATTTATGTTCATTTTGTACATTTCTAAAAATAAAGTTTAATGGAAATACTTAGTAGGCCTATCCTTTCTTCCCTGAATTATTTGCTCCTATAACATATCATTCATATATAGCAAACCATGATTTGATTTCTCATCAAACAGTAGTAGTTTATTACAGGTAAAAATAACTTACTCTTTGTTATGACCGGCTCGTAGGCCACAACGGAAAGACAAGGAGACATACACGAGTTTACAAAACCACGGCACATTTATTGTGGTAAATGCAGAGATAGGTGGTCGAGGGGAGAGAATCGCCGAGCCGCTGGGATTAATAGCACCTCGGCTACGGTGGTGTCCGTGATCGCGCTGATTAGCCTCTTCAGCTCCACCCCACCGTAAGACCTGCAACACACCTGCACAAAGGCCCTGGGGCCGTCACACTCTTCTATAACAACAGTTGTAGGTACAGTTCGGTTAGTTAGCGTATAAAATATACGGCTGTACCGACGCCATTATAAGACTGATGTTCCCCGAAAAAAGCGGGCGGAGCCTCTCTGGTGGTTGACTAATCAGAACAGAGTGGCCGAGCTGACCAATCGGAGCACACTAGGCTCACAGGGAGGGGGGGGCAAGAGCTCCAACGAGTCGTTTAGTGGAGAAAGTGAATACTGCTGAATACACATGCTTGACAGAGATGCTGTATGCGAAACCAATGTGAGTTTGGAAAATTGCACAGTATAAATCTATTTTAGTATACCTCAACAATGTAATTATGATCAGTGGAAATGGCCATGACATGGGCCCTTTAACAGATATCTGAATGTAGGAATCATATCACTAAATAGAGTTATCATGTTTATTGCAGAACAGAGCCTTATCAAAATGTCTCTTTAGAGAAGACAGCAGCTGAATCATAAAAAGCATTTATGTGCTAACATTTAGAAAATGGTCTAATCTGAGATCCTACATCTTTTAACTTATTTAGTTTGCATTTTTCATGCACTGCAGAAATGTGTTTTTGCACATTGTCAAATAGGTTTCAGTTCCTTAGTAGTTTATGTCCTCTCAAGGCTCCAAGTTTCTCTGTATCTGTCCTCAAATTGCCACTATTTGAATACTGAAACCTTTAAAGTAAGAAAAGAAACAAAACCCAGGTCTTCATCCAGCTGCAGCAAACACAAGTAAACATTTAGACCATCATGCTTTCCTTCATTGCAGTTACAACATAAAAAGAATACAAAACATATTGTTCAACCAATTTCTGAATTAGTTTCAAATTGTTACAACTAAAACAATGATTAGAAGTAAAGCTTTGATGGTACTCATATGAGTTATAGTCAAATTAAATAAAAATAACCAACTATCTTTCGTTGAAAAAGAATAATTAAAGTATTTTAATCAGCAGTTCATTTTTGTCTACAATTGCCTTAAATAGCTATTTGCTGCTAGTTTAAATGATGTTTAATACTGTTTGTATAGCACACCTCTATTCAATACCACCACTTGAACATTAAATAGATCCTTAACTACATTTATTGCAATGCTCATATTTTTTAAAAGGCGTCCCTTTTCCACTATTAAATTATCTAATGATATAACATAACTAATGATGTAGACATGAACAACTCTTCAAGTTCTTCTCATGAGAAAAGGACAAAAATAAAACCATCTATAGCAAAAACAGAATGAACTGTCATTAGTAAACCACTCAAATAAAAACATCACATAAGTGGTTTTGTTTTACATATATTTTAAGGACAATAATAGCAATGTAACTCTGTCGATGACACTTATAACACTGATTTGAGAAACATACAGAAAAAATGAATTCACTGCCCTTAATAAAGTATTTAAATATACATTTCAGGTGTGCTGTTTTGTTTAGTATGGATATTGAATATGGAATAAAGGTTTTGCACCTGGTGTAACAATAATCAAAAAGGACATTAAAAGAGCTCCAGATTTTAATTATCTGTTTTTGCAAAAATAGGGTATACAAAGTTGATTCTTGACTCTTGAAACACTGAGGTGATTGTGTTCTTGTGATAGTAACAATAACAGGTTCCATTTTCTATCTCCAGTCCGACTCATATTCATATGCAATGTGTTTGGTTCTATGCAAACTCAGTCATCTCCATTGTGATTCAGTTATAAGGCCTTCACATGAGACTGTCAGTGGAGATTGAAGGGGATCAGGAGCTCACGTCTTCTCAGAGTCATCATCATCATCATCATCATCATCATCATCCTCACCATGTTCTCTGTAGCTCTGCTGCTGCTGCTGGCAGCTGGAAGTGAGTCTCTCTCTGCACGAGTCAACACTTATTCTACTGCTGTTTAACAGGATAATCTGTCATATCATTTTTATTTTTACAGATGTGAAGTGTGAACAGTTGACACAGCCAGCCTCTGTGACTGTGCAGCCAGGTCAACGTCTGACCATCACCTGTCAGGTCTCTTATTCTGTGGGCAGACATCATACTCATTGGATCAGACAGCCTGCAGGGAAAGGACTGGAGTGGATTATATGCGCACGTGTTGGACACTACACATACCAAAAAGATTCACTGAAGAGCAAGTTCAGTATCGACTTAGACTCTTCCAGCAACACAGTGACTCTGAACGGACAGAGCGTGCAGCCTGGAGACTCTGCTGTGTATTACTGTGCCAGAGACACACTGTGACACACACCATCAGTAGAGCTGAACAAAAACCCCTCAGAGCCTGAACACTTGTAACATGAAGCCACCAGAGGAGGAGCCCTCAGACCAGAAATGCTCTCAACACCAGCTCACTGTTACAGTCAAGAGGGAAAGAGTACTAAGATGTCATAGAAATATTCTTAACTTAATTCAACAGAAAGGGTTTTCACCTATTTAAACAATCTGACTTTACAATCACTGATACTGTATATCATTCTAGGTATAACATCTAAAAGGGATAGTAAGACCATAAGTTCGTTTTAAAAGTGTCTGATAATACAGTAGATTCCTTTCTATAGTAGAATGGGATCCTCTAAAAGACATTTACTATTAAATAATTATTCAATAACATATGTAAAAGACAACTTTATCAGTGTCATAACTGGATTAGGAGAAGAATGAATAGTTTTGATCCAACTTCATATTTTCATAAAACTATCGAAAAGTTTGTTTTATAATCTAAATCGTGTTTGCTCAACCTTGTACGTCAGCCCACAGTGACACAAACCACCAGCAGACCTGCACAAATACTCAGCAACCATGTGACTCAACCACACAGAGTATAAATGTGAACAATGATACACACCTCACTCTCTGATAAGTTCTTTAAATGTCTGTGTAATATTATTTCACTTCCACTGCAGCCAAGATCAGTATAGAAGAGACTGAGAGAGAATTCATTTTGCACAAATGAAAAACACATATGACCAATTGAATTTATACTAAATGTGTTGTGTGCATTGTGATGCCTGTTAAATATAGAACACATTTTCTGTGTTTCTGTTTTCATCTACTGGAATATAAAATAACAGTCGTAGAGATACTCTGCTTATGGAAATGTTGATGTCACATGTTCCTTTTTGAATCTGTAGAGGGAGGTCGAGGCAAACTCTTCCTCTCTTTAAAACACACCATCAGCGACTTGTTGCAGAACACCAGAGAAGTGTTATATGTTTCTGAAACACTCAGATCAGAAAGCACTGACAGTGTCTCTCAAATAATGGAAAGGACAATTATCTGGAGTTTATTATTTTTAGTTACTATTCATGGTGAGAAACATCACTTCTGATTTACTTATTTTTTGTATTTCTTTGGTAAAATGTTGGATAATGAGCAAAAATGATTTACTTACAGGAGTCTGGAGTGAGATCAAACTGGAGCAGTCCTCCTCTCAGGTGCAAAGACCTGGAGGGACAGTGAAGATGTCATGTATCACATCTGGTTTTAAAATGACAGATTATTATATTCACTGGATCAGACAGAGGCCAGGACAAGCTCTGGAGTGGGTTGGGAGGATGAACACAGGTTCAAACTCTCCTACTTATGGCAGCTCCTTTCAAAGCTGCTTCACCATGACTGAAGACTGAAGATGATCTTAAATTACTAATAACTTTAAAGAAGGCAACAATTTACAATATGGATAAGGTGACTACTTATCCAAAGTGTGTGGGTGTGTGAACAGCTTGTCTGCCCAAGGTTAAAACATTTGGGACAGCAGTGAGAATGTTATGAGAAACAATTTGTTGCTTAGACTGAACTCGAAAGAAGCTGAGATTAGAACATTTTAAATAAATCAAAACACTTGTACATTAATTAAATACATTTGACATTTAGCTTGAGCTGGGTTCAATACTTTCTTTATGGTATTTAAATTGGGCTCAAGTAGAACCTTTACATGGATTTGGCTTGCAACACAAAGTGATACCGATCTCTGTCTGTTATGATTTGAAAGTCTCATGATTTAAAGTGTAGGCCTGTGAAGGAGAGGCCCTTGGAAAACAACAGCTATTTTTTTTAACTGTAATTACTTATTGTAAAGAGATTGCAACCTTATACTTTCTAAAAAATTGCATTTAACACATTTATTATGCACACAATAAAAACTTCAACAAATATATTGATCCTGGCTTAACCAGCGACCTTTACTATTTTGTTCATAAGCTCGGTTTCAGAAAACTTGTCAGTAGTTTAACAACTATTAGAATTGTATTAATGTCTATGGAGACCAATTGGTTGATACGAGAAATCATTTGAAGCAGTTTAATAAAGAATGTTAAACTATATTTAAAACTGTAATTAAACTTCAACTTATATTAATTATCTGAATCCAGTGGCCAGTTGGAACAGACAATCAACAAAGTTTCCATTTTGCAGCAACAGCGCAAAATGTTTCAACAATAATTTATATTATGTCTGAGTCTAGTTCTGTCTTATCAGCTTTGTTTCGGAATGTGTTCAATACATTACGTTTTTTTCATTATTACCATACAATACATAGATTTAAGAATAAATGAAACAAATAATACAAATAATACAACATTGACCTAAAACAGCAGACAGATTTTGCCACCCTGACCTCCTCAGGCAGGTTTTTACGACCAGCAGTGATGCCTCTGAGGGTCTCAGGGTGCAGGACGGGGCATAGGGTTTATAAAAGGTCACAAACATATCTTAACATACCAGCAATACAATTTAAAATGTATTCTTAAAATAATATAATCTTATTTTCTTCTTACACCTACAGCGCACACCCTGAACAGTGTGCTTCTTGTTTACATTTCCTCTGCACACTCAGATGCAGGACATAAAACACTCTTTTGCCATTTATTTTCATTTTGCAGCACATCTATACTACCAGAATTTTGCAAAACACTATATATTATTTATTTTTCTCAAGTCATTTACTTTTGTTGAATAAACTAAAGCTTAGTTTATTTTACCCTGGCTATGGACTGATTCATTATTAGTTGTTACAAAACATGCACAAGACGGCGGTTAGTACAAGAAAAACCACACTGCAATTAGACGAACAAACATGAACTCATAATAAACACCAGCGTGACAGCAAAGTTCATCCAGCTCAATTTAGTCCGGATTAAAGAGGTTTCAGAGGGGGGTAGGGAATTATCTCTCCCTCAATTGGGAATCCAGTGGGGCACCTTGACTCGCGCACGCACCCTTGTATACAAGTCCTAGATCGGTGCCTGAAGACCGTCCAAGAGCAATAACTATCTTATCCTCTTGCGACCCCACTACCCTGTTCTAGTGGTGCTATGCCCCCCCGATCTGGAGCGCATAGACTTTTTTCTCCGCTACCCTTTCTATCCGAAACTACACAGTTAATTGTAGTCCTACTCGACCAGCCTATACACACGCCATCATGTTCATCACAACGATGAAAGACAGTTTTGTTCTACACTTGCATGCAACTGCCCACCCATGATCAATTAGCCTATAATTTTATGTATGCACCCCGGTCCGGCACCAGCTCCTCCAGCAATGTAGGGAGCTGTGGCGCATCAGGTAATGCACACACCTCACACTTGCCCGCACGTCGTAAACGGCCACAAGCCACGAGAGTGCTTTTAAACCGTCTCGTTTTTAATAGAGACGGCGGTGGTGTGAGTTAAAGCTATAGACAAAAGCTGTGACTTTCTCCCTCTGAGTTCACTTCACCAGCTCAAGCTAAATGTCAAATGTATTTAATTAAGGAATATTTGCCTAACTTTTCCTTTTCAGATTTTGAACAATGTACTTGACTAAAATGAATGTATTGATTTTACTAAGACTAAGTGCCTTACTCTTGGCTAAAGCGTAATTAAGTAAACGTAAAGTAATCCTAAAATTGAAGACACTGCAACTTTGCCGATTACAGATTGATCAAATCACCACTGTGAATGTTATGCCTTAGCTGGATCTCTTATGATCCTATGTTTTAAATGCTTTTGACTAGTGATTGCCTTAAAGCAAATCTTTAAGCTGCTGCTGGTTTTGATTTTATAGTTTGATAAATGACATTAACTAATGGTTTAAATGATAAAAGATATTAGTTTAAAACAAATATTTTTGCTATTATGTATCTGTGTTTTATGTGTGCTCATTATTGTGCTTATTGACAAAAGATGCTCCAAACACGGATGAGAGATAATTGTTCCTATTATGATTGGCTGTATCAATCATTGTGATTGAATGTTTCAATCTTATTCTACTTTGTGATGTAATTGAATGTAAGGTGAGACCACACTCGAATCTGAAGACGCCTATTGATTTAAGTATTGACCAGAATTATTATTAGACTAATGTTTTAAGGTTATCAAAAATGATAAAAAGAGAGGAACTGTTAAGGAATAATTCTTCTAGATATCTAACCTTTTGCTCTGTGACGTTTTATGATCTACTCTGACGTCTGTTATCTCCTTTAAGGAAAGGCCTTGGTGCCATATGTGTTGTTGTCACCAGTTTGTGACCGGTCAACTTGTCTGGCACGAATGGTAATTGTTGTGAGAACGCTGAGGCACTTCTTTATCTGTGTTTGTGGACTCTAGGATGTGAAATCCTTGAGGCCATGAGTGTCGGACGCAGGTGGCTCAGTGTTCCCAGCTGTTTAGTCTACTCCTTCAGAGATGTTGATTTCTCTCTGTGAACCTGTTAAAAGGTCTAGCATAGAGAGAGGCTCTTCAGAATTGACGTGGCAACTCTACCGTGTAGTCAGAACCTCTGACTCTTTGATTTGTGATGTGAATCCTCCGGCCGAATACTCTGAATAAACCCATCAGTGTTTGACATCAAAGCTCCAACTCTCACCGTGTCTCCTTCCTGAGTCGGTGACTCCATGCATTGCTACACAGAAGTTTCCTCCACACCCAGCAGCACTCAGTACCTCGAGGTCAGCAGCCTGGCAGCAGGAGACTCTGCTGTTTACTTCTGTGCTCGTGACACACAGTGACTAAAGACAGTGGAGCAGCTGCACAAAAACCTCCACTAACCACAAAGCAATGTGATCCATACACTTCTGGGTTTTCTCTAAAATTGCAATAACACTTGGATGATGTATCCCCATCAGATTTATATGTATTTCCCATTAATCACCAGATAGTCCCTCATGATATCTCATTATTTTATTTTAAATAACACATGTTATATTTGTGAATACAAGCCACAAATTACATTGAATATGAAAAGAGAAACAAGCTGAAAAACAATATTTGATCAGACAGAGAGCTTGGCTGGGTGACTAGATTATTAGAAAAGTGAAATGTGAGAGGAGAATAAAGCACATTTCCTAAACACTACTATATATTAGTGATCAGAATAATATTGTAGATTATTTAGATTATAGTAAATATGCTTCCATTATGATCAAAGTGACTTATGTGAAACAGAGCATTGATACCAACATGAATGATCTCATATATATATAGAATTTGTTTAGGTTAATGTGATAAATATAAATTATGATTTCACAGGTTTGAATAATTTGTGTATATACTTGTCAAAAGTCGGAGCAAACATAATCATCTGTGTATTATTAGAATACATTTGTTTTTTATGTTAGAGCTATACTGATAGACATTCTACAAAATGTATAACTAGTTAAGAGAAAAGTCTAAACTGCTGAGATGGAGAGTTGATATTTTTTACAAACCCTGTGAGGAGGAGTCAATGCAAAACTCAGATATCTCCCCCTCTACTTATGTGACTGCAGAGAGGAGGACAGAGGACAGAGGACACACAGTTTAACATGATGGACTATAGGACAGGACTGCTGCTGCTCACTGTCTGCTGGGCAGGTCAACATCTTTACTGATCTTTATCTAACACAGATTTTAATTGTGTCAACAGCTTATTTCACCAGATGTGTTTTTATCCTCTTTACAGGTGTTGATGGTCAGACTCTGACAGAATCTGAACCAGTGACTAAAAGGCCTGGAGAATCTCACAGATTGACCTGTACAGCCTCTGGATCACATTCAGTGACTACAGGATGAACTGGGTCAGACAGGCTCCTGGAAAAGGACTGGAGTGGATCGCTTTTATCAGCACAGGCAGTTCTCATATCTATTACTCCCAGTCGGTCCAGGGTAGATTCACTATCTCCAGAGATGACTCCAGCAGTAAAGTGTATCTGTAGATGAACAGTCTGAAGGCCGAGGACACAGCAGTGTATTACTGTGCCAGAAGAGACACAGTGAGAGACAGTAACAGGAGAATAACAAACTACTTCCTCTATTTACCACCACCTATGGGAATATTAACTTTCTTCAGTATCTCTTTTAGAAATACTGACTAACTGAATATTGACATCCTATTTCATCTCATTTTACGCAATGTTTAATTCAGTTGCAGCCTAAAGAAATATAGTGAATTCAAACAGAAAAATATGTATTTTTGTGTCTTTTGTGCCTCCAACAAAATGTATCACAGATAATATAAAAATGTCCCATTTCAAACAATACAGCTGTTTATCTGATTCAGTATGGTTAAACTGTGCCCATGTATCTCTAGAAGTACATTAATGAATGCACGCTTTGATTACATAAAAAAAAAATTTGATTTGCCGATTGAACACAAATCATCATTATAACATAAACATTATCATCAGGAAAGTTTTATCTGTTTGAATTTGAAACATTACTGTAACATAACCACAACCAAATGAAGCAAATTCTATATTTAACACTGGAGACAAACAACTGATTCCAGTCAGCTAACTGGCAACCTTTAATCCACCGTAAACACATTGGAGAAGTTGATTCAATAAAAAATGTTAATAATGTTTCCCTTAAAGAAGCAGCTGTGATCATCTAATCTCTAACCCAAATTAAATCAAATACACCTGAGATTAATGGTTAATTAATTAATTTAGTTTATTGTCGTATTGGATTAGGCTTAGTTGTGTCCCTCTTGCAATCAAAATCATTATACTTTACATGAAGTCAATTGTTTGTCACTTTATAAATGGCCTTGCAAAACTATTCTGAAAAAAACACACACCCTTAGTTATAGGAGGAGTCAATGCAAAACTCAGATATCTCCCCCTCTACTTATGTGACTGCAGAGAGGAGGACAGAGGACAGAGGACACATAGTTTAACATGATGGACTATAGGACAGGACTGCTGCTGCTCACTGTCTGCTGGGCAGGTCAACATCTTTACTGATCTTTATCTAACACAGATTTTAATTGTGTCAACAGCTTATTTCACCAGATGTGTTTTTATCCTCTTGACAGGTGTTGATGGTCAGACTCTGACAGAATCTGAACCAGTGACTAAAAGGCCTGGAGAATCTCACAGATTGACCTGTACAGCCTCTGGATTCACATTCACTAGCTACAACATGCACTGGGTCAGACAGGCTCCTGGAAAAGGACTGGAGTGGATCGCTTATTTCGACACTGGTAGCACCCCGTACTACTCTGAGTCATTTAAAGGCCGGTTCACCATCTCCAGAGACAACAACAGACAGCAGGTGTATCTGCAGATGAGCAGTCTGAAGGCCGAGGACACAGCAGTGTATTACTGTGCCAGAGACACACAGTGAGAGACAGTAACAGGAGAGCCGTACAAAAACTACTACCTCTATTTACCACCACCCATGAGAGCATTCAATTTATATTGAAATACTGAGTAACTGAATATTGACATCCTATTTCATCTCATTTGACGCAATGTTTAATTCAGATACAACCTAAAGAAATATAGTGAATTTAAACAGAAAATATGTATTTCTTTGTCTTTTGTGCCTCGATCAAAATGTATTTTCATTTAATCGTTTATTGGAACCGCGACAGTGCACATCGATGAACACTTTTAAACGAAAAAATGCTTACAAGCGTAAATGAGCCGGATTTTAGCTTTAAGCTAATTTCCATCCGCAGTCCCGTATCACAGATAATATAAAAAAAATATTAAAGGTTTCCCATTTCAAACAACGCAGCTGTTTATCTGATTCAGTATGGTTAAGCTGTGCCCATGTATCTCTAGAAGTACATTAATGAAAGCACACTTTGATGACATTAAGCATTAAAAAACATCTATTAGATTTGCCGATTGAACACAAATCATCATTATATCATAAACATTATCATCAGGAAAGTTTTATCTGTTTGAATTTGAAACATTACTGTAACATAACCACAACCAAATGAAGCAAATTCTATATTTAACACTGGAGACAAACAACTGATTCAAGTCAGCTAACTGGCTAACTTTAATCCACCGTAAACACATTGGAGAAGTTGATTCAATAACAAATATTTATTAACAATGTTTCCCTCCTCTTGCACTTGATGTAGCTCCTGTATCTTCTCTTGCACTTTATATATCGTAGCTGCTACATTGTACTGCCATGTGGTTAATGCTTGTATATGCTGCTCATGCTCTTTCTGCATATCATGTATTTATTTTTACCATGTATATAAATGTCATGTTCTTAAATGTTGTATGTGAGGGACTACGGATGGAAATGAGCTCAAAGCTAAAATCCGGCATGTTTACGTTTTAAAGCATTATTTGTCTTAAATGTTCATCAATATGCACTCTTCAAATAAACGATGAAATGAAATAAATAAAGAAGCAGCTCTGATCTAACCCAATTTAAATCAAATACACCTGAGATTAATGGTTAGTTAATTAATTTAGTTTATTGTCATATTGGATGTAGGCCTAGGTGAGTCCCTCTTGCAATCAAAATCATTATACTTTACATGAAGTCTATTTTTAAACACGCACACTTAGTTATAGGAGGAGTCAATGCAAAACTCAGATATCTCCCCCTCTACTTATGTGACTGCAGAGAGGAGGACAGAGGACAGAGGACACACAGTTTAACATGATGGACTATAGGACAGGACTGCTGCTGCTCACTGTCTGCTGGGCAGGTCAACATCTTTACTGATCTGTATCTAACACAGATTTTAATTGTGTCACCAGCTTATTTCACCAGATGTGTTTTTATCCTCTTTACAGGTGTTGATGGTCAGACTCTGACAGAATCTGAACCAGTGACTAAAAGGCCTGGAGAATCTCACAGATTGACCTGTACAGCCTCTGGATTCACATTCAGTAGCTACTACATGCACTGGGTCAGACAGGCTCCTGGGAAAGGACTGGAGTGGATCGCTTATATCTACCCTAGCAGTAGCAACATCTACTACTCTGAGTCATTTAAAGGCCGGTTCACCATCTCCAGAGACAACAGCAGACAGCAGCTGTATCTGCAGATGAGCAGTCTGAAGGCCGAGGACACAGCAGTGTATTACTGTGCCAGAGACACACAGTGAGAGACAGTAACAGGAGAGTCGTACAAAAACTACTTCCTCTATTTACCACCACCCATGAGAGCATTCACTTTATATTTAAATACTGATTAACTGAATATTGACATAATATTTCATCTCATTTGACGCAATGTTTAATTCAGTTGCAACCTAAAGAAATATAGTGAATTCTAACAGAAAAATATGTATTTTTGTGTCTTTTGTGCCTCCAACAAAATGTATCAAAGATAATATAAAAATGTCCCATTTCAAACAACGCAGCTGTTTATCTGATTCAGTATGGTTAAACTGTGCCCATGTATCTCTAGAAGTACATTAATGAATGCACACTTTGATTACATTAAACAGTAAAAAACATCTATTTGATTTGCCGATTGAACACAAATCATCATTATATCATAAACATTATCATCAGGAAAGTTTTATCTGTTTGAATTTGAAACATTACTGTAACATAAGCTCAACCAAATGAAGCAAATTCAATATTTAACACTGGAGACAAACAACTGATTCCAGTCAGCTAACTGGCAAACTTTAATCCACCGTAAACACATTTGAGAAATTGATTCAATAAAAAATATATATTAATAATGTTTCCCTGAAAGAAGCAGCTCTGACCATCTAATCTCTAACCCAAATTAAATCAAATACACCCGTGATTAATGGTTAGTTATATAATTTACATTATTGTCGTATTGGATATAGGCCTAGCTGTCCCTCTGGCAATCAAAATCATCATTTTCTATTTGTTGTCGCTTTAAAAATGGCCTTGCACAATTATTCTTAAAAAGACACACAAACTTAGTTATAGGAGGAGTCAATGCAAAACTCAGATATCTCCCCCTCTACTTATGTGACTGCAGAGAGGAGGACAGAGGACAGAGGACAGAGGACAGAGGACACACAGTTTAACATGATGGACTATAGGACAGGACTGCTGCTGCTCACTGTCTGCTGGGCAGGTCATTATCTTTACTGATCTTAATCTAACACAGCTTCTAATTGTGTCAACAACTTATTTCACCAGATGTGTTTTTATCCTCTTGACAGGTGTTGATGGTCAGACTCTGACAGAATCTGATCCAGTGACTAAAAGGCCTGGAGAATCTCACAGATTGACCTGTACAGCCTCTGGATTCACCTTCAGTAGCCACTGGATGGCCTGGGTCAGACAGGCTCCTGGGAAAGGACTGGAGTGGATCGCTTTCATTTACGGTGACGGAAGCAAACAGTTCTACTCTGAGTCAGTGAAAGGCCGGTTCACCATCTCCAGAGACAACAGCAGACAGCAGCTGTATCTGCAGATGAGCAGTCTGACGGCTGTAGACTCTGCTGTTTATTACTGTGCTCGAGAGACACAGTGACTGAAGCTGGTTGAGCAGCTGTACAAAAACCTACAGGCCTCATCCTTATCTTAAATAGACCCTTAACCCTTAGATGCACGAATGACTGGACCCTACACTCTTCCATAAGTGGGTCAAAAAGGACCCGTATTAGAATAATATGTGTTTTTATGCCATTTTTGTCATTTTGGTTAAGAAAAATCACTTGTATAATAGTTAGCATTATATTTTGGTTCACACTAGAAATATTTTAAATTTAATTTTTCACTATTTATAATTTTAGGAAAAAAAATTACATTTTGAAAAAAAAATACGAAATTCCATAGAAAATGCATGCGGGTCATTTTTTACCCACTTATGGAAGCTTGGGGTAGTAATACAAAAACTACAATTCTTTAAAATGTATAACATTTGAATAAAAAATGTGAATGGCATGATATCCAAAACATGTTTTTTGAGGAATAGCTGGAATATGAAAAGATACAAAAATGTAATTACAAAGATATTTCAAGAATACCACCTCACCGGGTCAAAAAAAGACCCACTTATGGAAGCTTGGGGTAGTAATACGAAAACTACAATTTCTTAAAATGTATAAAATTTAAATTAAAAATTTGAATGGCGTGATATCCAAAACATGTTTTTTGAGGAATAGCTCGAATATGTAATGATACAAAAATGTAATTACAAAGATACTCTAAGAAAACCACCTTACCGGGTCAAAAAAGACCCACTTATGCATCTAAGGGTTAAAATGAATTATATTATTCAGTTATCTTTTGCTTTGGTTGTATATAATACAATTATGAAATTCAGCCTTGAGAGAGTTCTTAAATTACCAGCAACGTAATCAATTAAAAAAAGATCTAGATGAATTGATCACTGCCAAACAAAATAGCCAAGGACAAAACAAAAAAAAGAATCCGATGAGATCAATGTCATAATAGGAATAAAATAAACAATACATGAACACGTTTCAGCAACATTAATGCATATCATGGAGCAGCTGCTCTCATAAAGACACTAGATGGCAGTCAGTGTTGAGTTCCCCTCTCCTCTGTCAGTAAAAGGAAACACTCAGATCTGCTGCTCTCACTGATCTTAACTCACACTCAGACCCTGGACTGAACTACAGGTTTATACTCTCACCCTTTGAGAGGTTGCTTCATTATAACACAAAAAGGAGCTGGATCAGCAGTCACTGCAGATTCATGAGTTCATTTAGTTCTCCCTCAAACACATTTCAGTATCTCAGGCATTTCTTCCTGTGTGTCTTGTTTGATAACGAATGGTTTCTATATAAAACAGCTAAACAGTTTAGGCAGATTGTTCATTTTTATCAGAATATAAATATTAATTTAAATATTCTTCATTTTCAGCACTGAGAGGAGGAGCCAATGCAAATATGAATGGTTTCCATCTTTATTTACCTCACTGCAAACTGAAGAGGAGAGCTCAAACCACTGCAGTACACACAACACATTTCCACTATGACTTTAGCTACATGTTTAATGTTTCTGATGCTTTCATGGATTTCTGGTGAGTACATACTCCTGCACTCTTCTTTTTCTTAGGTTTATGTTTGGGTCTGTTGTGATCAAACTTCTTTTCTCTCCAGGTGTTTGCAGTCAGACTCTGACTGAGTCTGAAGCGGTGGTAAAGCTCCCTGGACAGTCCCACAAACTGACCTGTACATATGCAGGAATATCAGATAGTGATGCTGATATCAGCTGGATCAGACAAGCTGAAGGAAAAGGACTGGAGTGGGTTGCCCACATTTCTGCTCCAAGTGGAAGTACTATATATTATTCCACGTCAGTCCAGAATCGCTTCACCATTTCCAGAGACAACAACGTGGACCAGGTGTATCTGCAGATGAACAGCCTGACGTCTGAAGACTCTGCTGTTTATTATTGTGCTCGAAGGCCACAGTGATACAGGAAGCCACAGAGCTGTACAAAAACCACTGCAGTTGTCAGTGGCATTAACCAATAGAGAGTGCAAGTCATTTTCCAGCTTAAATCAGGATATCTTATATACACAATATGTAAATACTTCCCCACGCAATGCTTCCGTCACAAGACGTCTTTTAAAAAGTCAGAGTCAAAGGTTACCCCAAGAGGGCGACACTGGTGGAAGTCCCCAGGCAAAAACCTTGCAGACTGTTAAAGGTGGGGTAGGTAAGTTTGAGAAACCGGCTCGAGAGACACTTTTTGTTATATTCCATGGAATGCTCTTAACATCCCGATAGCAATGAATATTTTAAGTGCTTTGACAAAAAATCCATACAAAAATGTCATCTGTGGAAGCCGTAGTACTGTAAAAAGCACGACCAATCATTTTAGCCGGCCCGGCTAAAATAACTGGATGGCCTACCTGCCTGTCAGCCTTCCATCTGTGCACAAACTTATCTCGTGCCCTCATTGGTCATGTGCGCGTTCGTGTGTGTTGGAGGAGGGGCTCTGTAAGGAAGTGGCAGATTTTTTCCGGCTGTGTATTTTCAAATTCTAGCGATCTCGAGCTGGTTTCTCAAAATTACCTACCCCACCTTTAATGTCCAAATGTGTTTGTCTTCCTCTGTGTTATATGGCTTTTAAAGAATAAAACATAAATATGAGGACTTTGTTTGAAATATTAATCAAAATCATATTCTTTTGGAGACTGTTAAGCTAGGGGGTATTTTGTATAATTCCTTATGCTCATTAAACATTTGAGTGATCAATATGACGTAGAGATCCCCAAATGTTTTTTCTCAGGCCTCTGCATGTATTATATTGAAAACAAGATATTGAGATATTTATAGAATGACAGAGCCAATGAATTGGTGAATAGAGAGAAGAAGAGGGGACCCAGGACGCACCCCTGAGGGACCTCATTTAGGAGGGTCAGACACACATCCTCTCTAAGTTACCCTGTAGGTTCAGTCTCTGAAGAATCTAAGATGGGTGTCACCAACCTGCTGAAGATCTCACTAATAAACACATCAAGAACACTGAGTGGGCCGATTAATGATTGAGATTATGTTGATTTGCGTTTCCGCAGGTGTGAACATTATTGATCTGATCCAGTCGGACTCAATGGTTTGAATGAATTATATCAGTCCCTGCTAAAGCCCCTCCCTCCCCATGCTATCCTGATGCAAATCTCTAGTGTGTGCACAGTACTTCTGTCTGACTGCTCTGTACTTTGTGTGGAGCATCAGAGGTCACATCTCCAGTCTCAGGATGATCAACACTCTCTCTCTCTTCTGCTGGTTGCTCTATCTCTGCCCTGTGAGCTCTCCTGCTTCTTGATGTTTTATCTTTTATCAGACAACATCCACTGATGGTCAGTCAGTGAGACCAGAACATTTTCAAAAATATCTCACTATCTTCTTTGGTTCTCTTTCTCTTTTTTGTATCAGGTTGTACAGGTCAGAGTATGGAGTCTATTCCTTCCTCTTCAGTAGTGAAGAGGCCTGGGGAGACTCTCAGTGTCTCCTGCAGGGGATCTGGCTTCACATTTAGTTGCTGTGTTATGATCTGGGTCAGACAACCTGCTGGAAAACCTCTGGAATGGATAGGGAGCGGCTTCTCTTCGGCTAGTAGCAACAAATATGCCAGCAGCATGGAGGGACGTGTAGAAATCAGTAGAGATGATAGCAACAGCATGGTGCATCTGAGGCTGTCCAACTTGAAGCCAGAGGACTCTGCTGTGTATTACTGTGCTAGAGACACACAGTGGTTAAAGGAAGCACAGAGGCTTTACAAAAACCTCTAACTATTTATTATCACTAGTACCAACAGGTGGCAGTAAATGATAAAAAGTCAGTTGACAATAAGGAGAAAAAGACAGCTTTTCTAAACACACTATGAAAGCAACGGCTGATGTGGAATTTCACTTCCCCTTTTTTAGATATACATTTTACTTCAGGTATTCTTGCAACAATATTGTCCCATTATTTTATTTTTTACAGAAAGTATCGAGAATGGATTTATGCATGATGTATCCAGTATGTGGGTTAGGGTTTTGCTGAGCAGAATAAATGATTACATCTGATTTAAGATTAAATAAAAGTTAGTGATAAGTAACTTAAAATGTATCCTTATAATTGTCCAACAAGTCCAAAAGACAACTCTTGACAGGACAGACCGTCCCTCTTTTATAGCCTGTCAGTGTCCCTCTCTATGCAAAGTGAACTTCCTCACAGTCTGCTATAAAGACTTGATATCATGCTGTCAGCTGCAGCAGAAGAAGAGAAGCTCCATCAGGTCACCTTCAACACCAACCATGTTCTCTGTAGCTCTGCTGCTGCTGCTGGCTGCTGGATCCTGTGAGTCTCACTGAGGCAGAGACACTGACAGAACGCTCACACTGACTGCTCACTGTTATTAACCTCGCTCACTATTCAACATGTTTCCTTCCACAGGTGTGAAGTGTGAGCAGTTGACACAGCCAGCCTCTGTGACTGTGCAGCCAGGTCAACGTCTGACCATCACCTGTCAGGTCTCTTATTCTCTTAGCAGCTACTACACAGCCTGGATCAGACAGCCTGCAGGGAAAGGACTGGAGTGGATAGGAATGAAATACACTGGAGATTCATACTATAAAGATTCACTGAAGAGCAAGTTCAGTATCATTTAACATAGTAACATTTAGAGGTTATAATCACTGATACATTACTGTATGTATTCCCAGAATAAAACATGATTAACACTTCTTTAAATTGTTAAACATCAGCCTTCTCAAGTATCCAGTATTATATATTTTCAGTAATTGGATTTTGTCCTCTAAATTTAAGTTTCTTTACAACCAATTTCAGCTCTAATATATTGTTCACACTATTTATTCACAAATACTAAACAGTACATCTACGAGCCAAAACACAACAAACAATTGTTGGATGTCAGAGTTTCTTTCCAAAAACAAATGCATGCATTTCTGTTCTTTATTTGACACAAAACATAATTTTTGATTAGAAATATAAATGTTAAAACATGAGATGTAGATAAAACCTGTAAAGTGATTTATTTACTAAATTAACTCAAATCATTTTTTAATGACTATAATGTGAATACCTTTATTTTAATCAACAGTAAATAAAATCCATTATTTGTTTGTTTCATTTGACAAATCTGAATTGCATAACGATATTAAAATGTTAAAAAGTGACTTACAGCCCAATAAGAAATGTTTACCAATTTAAAATTGTAGAGATAATGTTATTAACATAAAATACTGTTAAAAGAGGACAATGTTCAATCAGAAAGGAGGAGTCAATGCAAAACTCAGATATCTCCCCCTCTACTTATGTGACTGCAGAGAGGAGGACAGAGGACAGAGGACACACAGTTTAACATGATGGACTATAGGACAGGACTGCTGCTGCTCACTGTCTGCTGGGCAGGTCAACATCTTTACTGATCTGTATCTAACACAGATTTTAATTGTGTCAACAGCTTATTTCACCAGATGTGTTTTTATCCTCTTTAAAGGTGTTGATGGTCAGACTCTGACAGAATCTGAACCAGTGACTAAAAGGCCTGGAGAATCTCACAGATTGACCTGTACAGCCTCTGGATTCACATTAAGTAGCTACTGGATGGCCTGGGTCAGACAGGCTCCTGGAAAAGGACTGGAGTGGATCGCTACTATCACCAATGGTGGCACCAAGTACTACTCTGAGTCAGTGAAAGGCCGGTTCACCATCTCCAGAGACGACAACAGACAGCAGGTGTATCTGCAGATGAGCAGTCTGACGGCTGTAGACTCTGCTGTTTATTACTGTGCTCGACACACAGTGACTGAAGCTGGTTGAGCAGCTGTACAAAATCCTACAGTCCTCATCCTTGATGTGCTGACAGAGCACAAAGAGAGTTATACATTGACTAAATCATTCATTGTTGTAGTTTTTATGAAAATGAAAAAAACAGTTTCTACTGAGCCAAGTTATAAAACACATTAATAAATAAAAATGAATTTTGTATTAATTAAAAATAATTTCATCATAAAACAGCCAAGGACAGGAAAAACATCTTCTAAATGTATTTTTCATGTATGGGCAAAAATAAACATTAAATGTAGAAATGTCAGTCACATTACTCACACAAGTACCAACAGGTGGCAGTAGAGGATAAAAAGACAGGTGACAATAACGGGAATATGACAATGTCTCTAAACGTATACTATGAAAGTCTTGAAGCTTTCCTGCAACAATAATATCTCATTATTAATTTCTTAACAGCAGGTATCAATAATATATTTATGCATGATGTTTCCAGTATGTGGAGGATGGGCAACCAATGTTGTGCAAAGCAGAATAAATGATTACATCTTATTTAGGTTTAAATAAAAGGAACTGACAAGAACTTTAAATTCAACCTTATAATTTAAGGATATATATACATTCAATCATAGTATGCGAAAAGGAAATCTACATCATATCTATTCAGGGGATGTGCTGTGTTTCTGTTTGAGGAGGAGGAGTCAATGCAAACTCTGACCTCTTCCATCTCTACATATGTGTTGCAGAGTGAAGGACAGACACTAAATCACTGACATACACACTGTAGACTGGACAGAGACAACTGGCTTTCACAATGATCAGACCTGATTATCTGGTGGTTTTTCTCATCCTGTCAATTAACTCTGCAGGTAAGAACAAAACCTGTTTTTCTGACAGACCTCCTGGTACAAAGACAATATGGCTGCATTACAGAAACTAATGAGCTGTTTACATGTCTGTAGGTACTGAGGGTCAAACACTGACTGAGTCTGAACCAGCGGTTAAAAAGCCTGGAGAGTCCCACAGACTGACCTGCACATATTCAGGGTTTAGTGGTCATATTGATACTGCTTGGATCAGACAGGGTGCTGGAAAAGGACTGGAGTGGATCGCTTATATCAGCAGTGGCAGTAGCTACATCTACTACTCTGAGTCAGTGAAAGGCCGGTTCACCATCTCCAGAGACAACAGCATACAGCAGGTGTATCTGCAGATGAGCAGTCTGACGGCTGTAGACTCTGCTGTTTATTACTGTGCTCGAGAGACACAGTGACACAGGAAGGAGAAATGCTGTACAAAAACTCAACAAGTCAAAACAAAGTCAAAACTTTGTGTCCTAGTTTTCATCACCACATAACAAATGAGGTTGAACATCATCAAGACACTCAAAGAGATTTAATAAAACTGCTTGTTCAGATCGCGGCTTCACAAAATATAGTCAAAACACGCATTTAGTATTCTTTTAATCTGAGTGTAAATGTGAGTCTGTTTTTCTGACCTGTGTGTTAGAAGTTGTGAGAAATACAAAAATGAACTTTCATTTTTTGTTTTTTAAATAATAGTTTTTCTTTCACATGTCCAAACAGAAATCCTAACGACTAATCGAGACAGGACAGTCGGTCCCTCTTTTATAGCCTGTCAGTGTCCCTCTCTATGCAAAGTGAACTTCCTCACAGTCTGCTATAAAGACTTGATATCATGCTGTCAGCTGCAGCAGAAGAAGAGAAGCTCCATCAGGTCACCTTCAACACCAACCATGTTCTCTGTAGCTCTGCTGCTGCTGCTGGCTGCTGGATCCTGTGAGTCTCACTGAGGCAGAGACACTGACAGAACGCTCACACTGACTGCTCACTGTTATTAACCTCGCTCACTATTCAACATGTTTCCCTCCACAGGTGTGAAGTGTGAGCAGTTGATACAGCCAGCCTCTGTGACTGTGCAGCCAGGTCAACGTCTGACCATCACCTGTCAGGTCTCTTATTCTCTTGGCTCCTTCACAGCCTGGATCAGACAGCCTGCAGGGAAAGGACTAGAGTGGATAGGCGTGAAAAACACTGGAAGTTCATACTACAAAGATTCACTGAAGAGCAAGTTCAGTATCGACTTAGACTCTTCCAGCAACACAGTGACTCTGAACGGACAGAGCGTGCAGCCTGGAGACTCTGCTGTGTATTACTGTGCCAGAGACACACTGTGACACACACCATCAGTAGAGCTGTACAAAAACCCCTCAGAGCCTGAACACTTGTAACATGAAGCCACCAGAGGAGGAGCCCTCAGACCAGAAATGATCTCAACACCAGCTCACTGTTACATCATCAGTTTAAACATTTAGAGGTTATAATCACTGATACATTACTGTATGTATTCCCAGAATACAAGACAAATACAAATGACAAATTGTCGACCATTAAACTTCTCAAGTAGACCTTATAAAATAAAATCAGCTGAATTGGTTTCAGTAGATTAATTGCTCTAAATGTTAGATGTGTAACAGGATGTATTCCCCTAAAAATATCAATTACTACAAGCTACGAGCCAAAACTTACATTTCTTTGGATCTGACAATTGCAACAAATGCATTAATTGCTGTACTGATAACTGTGACACAATACGTCAGCTTTGATAAAAAGTATGGGATGCTTTTCGTCTATTTCAAACCTAGCCTGCAAAGTGATATACACGCTACATGATATAAAACTAAATCATAACAATTTTAAAACCTATTTTCAATAAACAGCAGCAGAAATTCAAGTTGCATCGGAAGAAACTGAATTAAATAAGAAATGTAAATGTAACGAAGCAATATAAGGATAACATTTATATCAGGTTTAAATGTTGACGAAATCAATATTTAAAGAGATATTTTTTTAAGGTAAATATTAGTGTGAACAGAGGACAATGTTCAATCAGAAAGGAGGAGTCAATGCAAAACTCAGATATCTCCCCCTCTACTTATGTGACTGCAGAGAGGAGGACAGAGGACAGAGGACACACAGTTTAACATGATGGACTATAGGACAGGACTGCTGCTGCTCACTGTCTGCTGGGCAGGTCAACATCTTTACTGATCTTTATCTAACACAGATTTTAATTGTGTCAACAGCTTATTTCACCAGATGTGTTTTTATCCTCTTGACAGGTGTTGATGGTCAGACTCTGACAGAATCTGATCCAGTGACTAAAAGGCCTGGAGAATCTCACAGATTGACCTGTACAGCCTCTGGATTCACATTCAGTAGCTACAGGATGAACTGGGTCAGACAGGCTCCTGGGAAAGGACTGGAGTGGATCGCTTTTATCCACCCTACTAGCAGTAGCAGCATCTACTACTCTGAGTCAGTGAAAGGCCGGTTCACCATCTCCAGAGACAACAACAGACAGCAGGTGTATCTGCAGATGAACAGTCTGACGGCTGTAGACTCTGCTGTTTATTACTGTGCTCGAGACACACAGTGACTGAAGCTGGTTGAGCAGCTGTACAAAAACCCCTCATTATTACCACAGTTTTCTCACACTGTTAATGTGAGATTTGGAGTCTTTCAATATCATGACACCGGTAGTTACACCAAACACTGTTCGATTAGAAACATATTTCTTAACAGATATCTGAATGTAGGAATCATATCACTAAATAGAGTTATCATGTTTATTGGAGAACAGAGCCTTATCAAAATGTCTCTTTAGAGAAGACAGCAGCTGAACCATGAAAAGCATTTATGTGCTAACATTTAGAAAATGGTCTAATCTGAGATCCTACGTCTTTTAACTTATTTAGTTTGCATTTTTCATGCACTGCAGAAATGTGTTTTTGCACATTGTCAAATAGGTTTCAGTTCCTTAGTAGTTTATGTCCTCTTAAGGCTCCAAGTTTCTCTGTATCTGTCCTCAAATTGCCACTATTTGAATACTGAAACCTTTTAAAGTAAAAAAATAAACAAAACCCAGGTCTTCATCCAGCTGCAGCAAACCAAAGGCCGAGGACACAGCAGTGTATTACTGTGCCAGAAGAGACAGTGAGAGACAGTAACAGGAGAGCCGTACACAAACTACTTCCTCTATTTACCACCACCTATGAGAGCATTCACTTTATATTGAAATACTGAGTAACTGAATATTGACATCCTATTTCATCTCATTTGACGCAATGTTTAATTCAGTTGCAACCTAAAGACATATAGTGAATTCAAACAGAAATATGTATTATTGTTTCTTTTGTGCCTCCAACAAAATGTATAAAATATAATATAAAATGTCCCATTTCAAACAACGCAGCTGTTTATCTGATTCAGTATGGTTAAACTGTGCCCATGTATCTCTAGAAGTACATTAATGAAAGCACACTTTGATTACATTAAACATTAAAAAACATCTGTTTGATTTGCCGATTGAACACAAATCATCATTATATCATAAACATTATCATCAGGAAAGCTTCATCTGTTTGAAACATTACTGTAACATAACCACAACCAAATGAAGCAAATTCTATATGTAACACTGGAGACAAACAACTGATTCCAGTCAGCTAACTGGCAAACTTTAAGTCCACAGTAAACACATCGGAGAAGTTGATTAAATACATAAAATATATTAATAATGTTTCCCTTAAAGAAGCAGCTCTGATCATCTAATCTCTAACCCAAATTCAATCAAATACACCTGAGACTAATCGTTAGTTAATTAATTGAGTTTATTGTCGTATTGGATGTAGGCCTAGCTGTCCCTCTGGCAATCAAAATCGTTATTTTCTATTTGTTGTTGCTTTAAAAATGGCCTTGCAAAAATTATTCTTAAAAAAACACACACCCATAGTTATAGGAGGAGTCAATGCAAAACTCAGATATCTCCCCCTCTACTTATGTGACTGCAGAGAGGAGGACAGAGGACAGAGGACACACAGTTTAACATGATGGACTATAGGACAGGACTGCTGCTGCTCACTGTCTGCTGGGCAGGTCAACATCTTTACTGATCTTTATCTAACACAGATTTTAATTGTGTCAACAGCTTATTTCACCAGATGTGTTTTTATCCTCTTGACAGGTGTTGATGGTCAGACTCTGACAGAATCTGAACCAGTGACTAAAAGGCCTGGAGAATCTCACAGATTGACCTGTACAGGCTCTGGATTCACATTCAGTAGCTACTGGATGGCCTGGGTCAGACAGGCTCCTGGAAAAGGACTGGAGTGGGTTGCTACTATGCACCCTACTAGCAGTGCCCACATTTACTACTCTGAGTCAGTGAAAGGCCGGTTCACCATCTCCAGGGACAACAGCAGACAGCAGGTGTATCTGCAGATGAACAGTCTGACGGCTGTAGACTCTGCTGTTTATTACTGTGCTCGACACACAGTGACTGAAGCTGGTTGAGCAGCTGTACAAAAACCTACAGTCCTCATCCATACTTAGTTGATAGAGTACAAGGATAATTATACTTTGACTAAATCTTTCCTTGCTGTAGTTTTTATGAAAATGAAAAAACAGTTGCTACTGAGCCAAGTTACAAAACACAATAATAAAAAAGAAATGTCTTTAAAAAAAGTAATTTCCTCATAAAACAGAAAAAACATCTTCTAAATGTATTTTTCATGTATGGGCAAAAAGAAACATTAAATATAGAAATGTCAGTCACATTACTCACTCAAGTACCAACAGGTGGCAGTAGAGGATAAAAATACAGATGACAATAACGGGAATATGACAATGTCTCTAAACGTATACTATGAAAGGCTTGAGGCTTTCCTGCAACAATAATAACCCATTATTAATTTCCTAACAGCAGGTATCAATAATATATTTATGCATGATGTTTCCAGTATGTTGAGGATGGGCAACCAATGTTGTGCAAAGCAGAATAAATGATTACATCTTATTTAGGTTTAAATAAAAGGAACTGACAAAGAACTTTAAATTCAACCTTTTAATTTAAGGATATATATACATTCAATCATAGTATGCAAAAAGGAAATCTACATCATATCTATTCAGGGGATGTGCTGTGTTTCTGTTTGAGGAGGAGGAGTCAATGCAAACTCTGACCTCTTCCATCTCTACATATGTGTTGCAGAGTGAAGGACAGACACTAAATCACTGACATACACACTGTAGACTGGACAGAGACAACTGGCTTTCACAATGATCAGACCTGATTATCTGGTGGTTTTTCTCATCCTGTCAATTTAACTCTGCAGGTAAGAACAAAACCTGTTTTTCTGACAGACCTCCTGGTACAAAGACAATATGGCTGCATTACAGAAACTAATGAGCTGTTTACATGTCTGTAGGTACTGAGGGTCAAACACTGACTGAGTCTGAACCAGCGGTTAAAAAGCCTGGAGAGTCCCACAGACTGACCTGCACATATTCAGGGTTTAGTAGTAATTACTGGAATGCTTGGATCAGACAGGCTGCTGGAAAAGGACTGGAGTGGATCGCTTATATCAGCAGTGGCAGTAGCTACATCTACTACTCTGAGTCAGTGAAAGGCCGGTTCACCATCTCCAGAGACAACAACAGACAGCAGGTGTATCTGCAGAGGAGCAGTCTGACGGCTGTAGACTCTGCTGTTTATTACTGTGCTCGAGACACAGTGACACAGGAAGGAGAAATGCTGTACAAAAACTCAACAAGTTCAAATGCAAATTCAAAACTTTGTGTTCTGCTTCTCACAATCACAAAAAAGCTTGAGATCAACATCATCAAGACAATGAAAGAAATATCGCCTCAATAAAACTGCTTCCATCAGATAGCAGCTACCAAAAGTTACATCAGACAATAGATATACTGTTTGTCTGAGGTTTGATTGGAAATAAAAATATCATTTTCATTTCTTGTTTTAAAAAATAAATGTTATTTCATATGTCCAAACACAAATCCAAATGACAACTCGAGACAGGACAGTCCGTCCCTCTTTTATAGCCTGTCAGTGTCCCTCTCTATGCAAAGTGAACTTCCTCACAGTCTGCTATAAAGACTTGATATCATGCTGTCAGCTGCAGCAGAAGAAGAGAAGCTCCATCAGGTCACCTTCAACACCAACCATGTTCTCTGTAGCTCTGCTGCTGCTGCTGGCTGCTGGATCCTGTGAGTCTCACTGAGACAGAGACACTGACAGAACGCTCACACTGACTGCTCACTGTTATTAACCTCGCTCACTATTCAACATGTTTCCCTCCACAGGTGTGAAGTGTGAGCAGTTGATACAGCCAGCCTCTGTGACTGTGCAGCCAGGTCAACGTCTGACCATCACCTGTCAGGTCTCTTATTCTCTTAGCAGCTACTACACAGCCTGGATCAGACAGCCTGCAGGGAAAGGACTGGAGTGGATAGGTATCAAATACACTGGAGCTACATTCTATAAAGATTCACTGAAGAGCAAGTTCAGTATCGACTTAGACTCTTCCAGCAACACAGTGACTCTGAACGGACAGAGCGTGCAGCCTGGAGACTCTGCTGTGTATTACTGTGCCAGATACACACTGTGACACACACCATCAGTAGAGCTGTACAAAAACCCCTCAGAGCCTGAACACTTGTAACATGAAGCCACCAGAGGAGGAGCCCTCAGACCAGAAATGATCTCAACACCAGCTCACTGTTACATCATCAGTTTAAACATTTAGAGGTTATAATCACTGATACATTACTGTATGTATTCCCAGAATAAAAATGAATAACTTCTTTAAATTGTTAAACATCAGCCTTCTCAAGTATCCATAATTATATATTTTCAGTAATTGGATTTTGTCCTCTAAATGTAAGTTTCTTTACAACCAATTTCAGCTCTAAGAATATTGTTCACACTATTTATTCACAAATACTAAACAGTACATCTACGAGCCAAAACACAACAACAAATTGTTGGATGTCAGAGTTTCTTTCCAAAAACAAATGCATGCATTTCTGTTCTTTATTTGACACAAAACATAATTTTTGATTAAAAATATAAATGTTAAAGACATGAGATGTAGATAAAACCTGTAAAGTGATTTATTTACTAAATTAACTCAAAGCATTTTTTAATGACAATAATGTTTATTTTAATCAATTAAAAGCCATTATTTGTTTGTTTCATCTGACAAATCTGAATTACATAACGATATTCAAATGTTACAAAGTGACTTACAGCACAATAAGAAATATTTACCAATTTAAAATTGTAGAGATAATGTTTTTAACATAAAATACTGTTAAAAGAGGACAATGTTCAATCAGAAAGGAGGAGTCAATGCAAAGCTCAGATATCTCCCCCTCTACTTATGTGACTGCAGAGAGGAGGACAGAGGACAGAGGACACACAGTTTAACATGATGGACTATAGGACAGGACTGCTGCTGCTCACTGTCTGCTGGGCAGGTCAACATCTTTACTGATCTTTATCTAACACAGATTTTAATTGTGTCAACAGCTTATTTCACCAGATGTGTTTTTATCCTCTTGACAGGTGTTGATGGTCAGACTCTGACAGAATCTGAACCAGTGACTAAAAGACCTGGAGAATCTCACAGATTGACCTGTACAGCCTCTGGATTCACATTCAGTAGCTACGAGATGAACTGGGTCAGACAGGCTCCTGGGAAAGGACTGGAGTGGATCGCTTATATCTATACTGATGGTAGCAACCAGTTCTACTCTGAGTCAGTGAAAGGCCGGTTCACCATCTCCAGAGACAACAACAGACAGCAGGTGTATCTGCAGATGAGCAGTCTGACGGCTGTAGACTCTGCTGTTTATTACTGTGCTCGACACACAGTGACTGAAGCTGGCTGAGCAGCTGTACAAAAACCTACGGTATCCATTCTTATCTCGATAGACCCTCAAAATCAGTTATATTCTTCAGTTATCTTTTGCTTTTGTTGTTTTTAATAAAAGTAGGAGATTCAGACATCAATTACCAGCAATGTTTAATTAACACATTGTTGGAACAATATTATCAATGTGTTGATCGCTGGAACACAAAATAGCCAAGAACAAAAAAACATAAAAGTCTCCTGAAATCAATGTCCAAAAAAAGAATACAATGAACAATACATGAACACATTTCAGCCACATAATGCATATATGTGAGTAAAATCATGTAGCAGCTGCTCTCATAAACGGAACTTGAGTTCCCCTCTCCTCTGTCAGTAAAAGGAAACACTCAGATCTGCTGCTCTCACTGATCTTAACTCACACTCAGACCCTGGACTGAACTACAGGTTTATATTCTCACCCTTTGAGAGGTTGCTTTATTATAAAACACAAAAAGGAGCTGGATCAGCAGTCACTGCAGATTCATGAGTTCATTTAGTTCTCCCTCAAAGATATTTCAGTATCTCAGGCATTTCTTCCTGTGTGTCTTGTTTGATCATGAATGGTTTCTATATAAAACAGCAAAACAGTTTAGGCAGATTGTTCATGTTATCAGAATGTAATATTATCAACATTTTAAACTGTTAATTATTCATTTAAACATTCTTCATATTCAGCACTAAGAGGAGGAGCCAATGCAAATATTCATCTCTTCCATCTTTATTTATCTCACAGCAAACTGAAGAGGAGAGCTCAAACCACTGCAGCACACACAACACATTTCCACTATGACTTTAGCTACATGTTTAATGTTTCTGATGCTTCCATGGATTTCTGGTGAGTACATACTCCTGCACTCTTCTTTTTCTTAGCTTTATGTTTGGGTCTGTTGTGATCAATCTGCTTTTCTCTCCAGGTGTTTGCAGTCAGACTCTGACTGAGTCTGAAGCGGTGGTAAAGCTGCCTGGACAGTCCCACAAACTCACCTGTACATATGCAGGAATATCAGATAGTGATGCTGATATCAGCTGGATCAGACAAGCTGAAGGAAAAGGACTGGAGTGGGTTGCCTTCATTTCTGCTCCAAGTGGAAGTACTATATATTATTCCACGTCAGTCCAGAATCGCTTCACCATCTCCAGAGACAACAACGTGGACCAGGTGTATCTGCAGATGAACAGCCTGACGTCTGAAGACTCTGCTGTTTATTATTGTGCTCGACAGACACAGTGATACAGGAAGCCACAGAGCTGTACAAAAACCACTGCAGTTGTCAATGGCATTAACCAATAGAGAGTGCAAGTCATTTTCCACCTTAAATCAGGATATCTTATATACACAAGATGTGAATACTTCCCCACGCAATGCTTCCGTCACAAGACGTCTTTAGTGTTTTAAAAAATAAGTCAGGGTCAAAGGTTACCGCAAGAGGGCGACACTGGTGGAAGTCCCCAGGGAAGCTATGCAAAAACCTTGCAGACTGTTAATGTCCAAATGTGTTTGTCTTCTCTGTGTTATATGGCTTTTAAAGAATATATCATAAATATGAGGACTTTGTTTGAAATATTAATCAAAATCATATTCTTTTGGAGAATGTTAAGCTAGGGGGTATTTTGTATAATTCCTTACCCTTATTAAACATTTGAGTGATCAATATGACGTAGAGATCTCCAAATGTTTTTTCTCAGGCCTCTGCATGTATTATATTGAAAGCAAGATATTGAGATATTTATAGAATGACAGAGCCATTGGTGAACAAAGAGAAGACGAGGGGACCCAAGACGCACCCCTGAGGGACCTCATCGAGGAGGGTCAGACACACATCCTCTCAAAGTTACCCTGTAGGTTCAGTCTCTGAAGAATCTAAGATGGGTGCAACCAGCCTGCTGAAGATCTCACTAATAAACACAGGGATAGGGAGCGGCTACTCTTCGGCTAGTAGCAACAAATATGCCAGCGTGGAGGGACGTGTAGAAATCAGAAGAGATGATAGCAACAGCATGGTGCATCTGAGGCTGTCCAACTTAAAGCCAGAGGACTCTGCTGTGTATTACTGCGCCAAAGAGACACACTGATTAAAGGAAGCACAGAGGCTTTACAAAAACCTCTAACTATTTATTATCACTAGTACCAACAGGTGGCAGTAAATAATAAAAAGACAGCTACTGCCACCTGCCATCAATTCAATCAGAAAGGAGGAGTCAATGCAAAACTCAGATATCTCCCCCTCTACTTATGTGACTGCAGAGAGGAGGACAGAGGACAGAGGACACACAGTTTAACATGATGGACTATAGGACAGGACTGCTGCTGCTCACTGTCTGCTGGGCAGGTCAACATCTTTACTGATCTTTATCTAACACAGATTTTAATTGTGTCACCAGCTTATTTCACCAGATGTGTTTTTATCCTCTTGACAGGTGTTGATGGTCAGACTCTGACAGAATCTGAACCAGTGACTAAAAGGCCTGGAGAATCTCACAGATTGACCTGTACAGCCTCTGGATTCACATTCAGTAGCTACTGGATGCACTGGGTCAGACAGGCTCCTGGGAAAGGACTGGAGTGGATCGCTTATATATATAGTTCTTCTATCTTTTACTCCCAGTCTGTCCAAGGTAGATTCACTATCTCCAGAGATGACTCCAGCAGTAAAGTGTATCTGTAGATGAACAGTCTGAAGGCCGAGGACACAGCAGTGTATTACTGTGCCAGAAGACACAGTGATAGACAGTAACAGGAGAGTCGTACAAAAACTACTTCCTCTATTTACCACCACCCATGAGAGCATTCACTTTATATTGAAATACTGAGTAACTGAATATTGACATCCTATTTCATCTCATTTGACGCAATGTTTAATTCAGTTGCAACCTAAAGAAATATAGTGAATTCTAACGGAAAAATATGTATTTCTGTTTATTTTGTGTCTCCAACTAAATATATCAAATATAATATAAAATGTCCCATTTCACACAACGCAGCTGTTTGTCTGATTCAGTATGGTTAAACTGTGCCCATGTATCTCTAGAAGTACATTAATGAAAGCACACTTTGATAACATTAAACATTAAAAAACATCTGTTTGATTTGCCGATTGAACACAAATCATCATTATATCATAAACATTATCATCAGGAAAGTTTTATCTGTTTGAATTTGAAACATTACTGTAACATAACCACAACCAAATGAAGCAAATTAAATATTTAACACTGGAGACAAACAACTGATTCCAGTCAGCTAACTGCCAAACTTTAATCCACCGTAAACACATTGGAGACGTTGATTAAATAAAAAATATATTTTAATAATGTTTCCCTTAAAGAAGCAGCTCTGATCATCTAATCTCTAACCCAGATTAAATCAAATACACCTGAGATTAATCGTTAGTTAATTAATTGAGTTTATTGTCGTATTGGATGTAGGCCTAGCTGTCCCTCTGTCAATCAAAATCATTATACTTTACATGAAGTCAATTGTTTGTCCCTTTATAAATGGCCTTGCAAAATTATTCTGAAAAAACACACCCTTAGTTATAGGAGGAGTCAATGCAAAACTCAGATATCTCCGCCTCTACTTATGTGACTGCAGAGAGGAGGACAGAGGACAGAGGACACACAGTTTAACATGATGGACTATAGGACAGGACTGCTGCTGCTCACTGTCTGCTGGGCAGGTCAACATCTTTACTGATCTTTATCTAACACAGCTTTTAATTGTGTCAACAGCTTATTTCACCAGATGTGTTTTTATCCTCTTGACAGGTGTTGGTGGTCAGACTCTGACAGAATCTGAACCAGTGACTAATACCCCTTTCACACCAACGGTGTTTCAGGGCCGGTTCGGTGCTGGTGCTTGAAAAGCACCGGGTTTTCCTGTTCACACCGCAGCGGAGCAGCCTCTAAGCTCCGGAATCCGGTTCGTTTCGAGCACCAAAAAGTTGTCCGTCTAGAAGCAAGAACCGCATACGTCACGCTTACGTCGGAGGGGGGCGAGATTAACCTGAGCTAACACTTAAGGCGAGTACGGCAAATAAAAGTTGTAACAAGCAGTAGTGCTGAGCAAAGTGACTAGAACGCAACCACACACTTGTTAAAAAAAACACACTTTATAAAGTCAGGCAACACTAACCAGGCTTTGTGTGATTCTGTTGTACCTTACTTTGACCATCCGTTCGCTGTTATTGATCATTGTGGAGAGCAGGCAGACGTTTTGATTGTTATTATAGCAGCTATCGGATGGAATCAATACATGGGCTGCACAGGTTGTCATGTCCGACTATCACAAGTAGAATCATAATGAAAAATACGTCGGTAAAAAGTGCCTGTAGAAAACTGCTTAGCAAGTAGTCAGTTTAGCTTCGGTTGCTATGCTAACATCACCCATGTTATACCAGAGAAACTTTCATAACAGCGTTGTGATGCCAAACAGCGTCAATTCAGACTGACACCAAACAGCGTCAATTCAGACTGACACACATTCACTTAAGGGGAACTGGGGATATGTATCAGCTGCTTGTGTGACAGTCAGACAGTGAATACTTTAGAGCCGTGTGAGCTAACCCGGAGCTAACGGGAGAATACACTCGTGGAAGAGCAGCCGGCCAGCACTGCAGCGGTCGGTAAATGCCGCTGAAACACATTAATAAACAATGAACCACGGCACTCTGGAGAAAAGTATAAGGTTGGAGAAGTCGTTATTTAATTTAATCTGGCTTCGTATGATTAAAAGCAACGCAGTCCCCGGCCCGTTGTTATTGTGAGGTGAGCTCCGGCGTTGGGGAGAAACTCAGCGACGTAAACTGTGACGTCATGACGCAGCAGTGGCAGCACAAGTCGGGCTCTGAGCGGTGTGAAAAGAGCCGGCGCTAAACCGAAGAACCGGTTCTGAACCAGAAAAGCTCTAGCACGGAGCTTGAACCGGAGTTGCGTTGGTGTGAAAGGGGCATAAAAGGCCTGGAGAATCTCACAGATTGACCTGTACTACTTCTGGATTCACATTAAATAGCCACTACATCGCCTGGGTCAGACAGGCTGAAGGAAAAGGACTGGAGTGGATCGCTTCGATCGTTGGTGGCAGCATCTACTACTCTGAGTCAGTGAAAAGCCGGTTCACCGGCTCCAGCAACAACATACAGCAGGTGTATCTGCAGATGAGCAGTCTGACGGCTGTAGACTCTGCTGTTTATTACTGTGCTCGAGAGACACAGTGACTGAAGCTGGTTGAGCAGCTGTACAAAAACCCCTCATTATTACCACACTTTTCTCACACTGTTAATGTGAGATTTGGAGTCTTTCAAATATCATGACACAACTTTAGTTACACCAAACAATGTAAAACATATTTCTTAACAGATATCTGAATGTAGGAATCACATCACTAAATAGAGTTATCATGTTTATTGCAAAACAGAGCCTTATCAAAATGTCTCTTTAGAGAAGACAGCAGCTGAACCATGAAAAGCATTTATGTGCTAACATTTAGAAAATGGTCTAATCTGAGATCCTACGTCTTTTAACTTATTTAGTTTGCATTTTTCATGCACTGCAGAAATGTGTTTTTGCACATTGTCAAATAGGTTTCAGTTCCTTAGTAGTTTATGTCCTCTTAAGGCTCCAAGTTTCTCTGTATCTGTCCTCAAATTGCCACTATTTGAATACTGAAACCTTTAAAGTAAGAGAATAAACAAAACCCAGGTCTTCATCCAGCTGCAGCAAACACAAGTAAACATTTAGACCATCATGCTTTCCTTCATTGCAGTTACAACATAAAATATAATACAAAACATATCGTTCAACCAATTTCTAAATTAGTTTCAAATTGTTACAACTAAAACAATGATTAGAATTAAAGCTTTGAAGTTACTCATATGAGTTATAGTCAAATTCAAGAAAAAAAATCAGCTGGAGCCTTAGTTGTAAAAGAATAATTATAGTAAGTTTAATTTAATCAACAGTTCATTTTTGTCAACAATTGCCTTAAATAGCTATTTGCTGCTAGTTTAAATGATGTTTAATGCTGTTTGTATAGCCTTGAATTTGACTTTTAAAGCAGAATGCAAAGTAGGAGGAGCTAATCGTCAAATGAATTCTCAAAGGGATCAAGTTTACTTCATATTTAAAGAGGGACTCAAGCTTTTGAAAACACAAGAAACTGTGTGAACATGGCTCAGGGAAAGCTAACACTCTTGGTGGTTGCTCTGTTTGTTTGGTCTGTCGCTGAAGGTCAGACCATAACTGAGTCTGAACCAGCAGTCAGGAAACCCGGAGAATCTCACAGACTCTCCTGCACAACATCTGGATTCAACTTTGGAGGCTCAGTATGGAACTGGATCAGACAGGCTTCTGGGAAAGGACTGGAGTGGATCGCTTTCACACAGCTAGTACTCCTATATATTACTCTCAGTCGGTCCAGGGTAGATTCACTATCACCAGAGATGACTCCAGCAGTAAAGTGTATCTGCAGATGAACAGTCTGAAGGCCGAGGACACAGCAGTGTATTACTGTGCCCATGTATCTCTAGAAGAACATTAATGAATGCACACTTTGATAAGATTAATACACATCGTTTTACTTTGCTGATTGTACACCAATCATCATTATATCATAAACATTATAGCTGTAATTGGACTGATTTTATGTTTTTTATCTGTTTGTTTTTTTTTGTTTTTTTTGTTTAGCTTTTTAATCTTATTTATTGATGTGTATCTTGTCATTTTGTATGTGATATGGACCTTGAGTCTGAAATAAAGATTGAAATGAATTATCATCAGGAAAGCTTTATCTGTTTGAAGTGAGTATTTTGACCAAATCATACCATATTTTCTAACTCCAAGCTGTATAAACTTGAATGCGTATTGGATTTAAGCATATCAGGTGATGTGTATTTGTGTAATGAGGGTGTAAGGAGGCTGTGGCCTAAGAACATCAACACCCTATATCACGGTGCACAATTATAAGCCAGTTCCTTTGTCTCATGCATAATGGGCCAAAAAATAGATTTAACTGACTCTGAAAAGTCAAAACTGTAAAAAGTATTTCAGAGGGATGCAGCACTCTTGAAATTGCTCAGATATTTGGGCGTGATCACAGAACCTTCAAACGTTTGGTGCAAATAGTCAACGGGGTCAGAAGAAACGTATTGAGAAAAAGACGCAAATGAACTGCCAAAGATTTGAGAAGAATCAAACGTGAAGCTACCAGGAAGCCATTATCCTCGAGTGCTGTCATATTTAATGAAACCCGAGCACAACTGACCAAGACACATAAGATAAAATGTCAAGACTGGGCCAAGAAATATCTAAACACAGATTTTCCAAAGGTTTCATGGACTGATGAGATGAGAGTGACTCTTGACGGATCAGTCCAGATGGTCCGTGGCTGGATCAGTAACGGGCCCAGAGCTCCACTTCGATGCCAGCAAGGTGGAGGAGGGGTTCTGGTATGGGCTGGAATTATAAAAAATGACTAGAAAGTCAACTCCCAAATATACTGCCAGTTTTTAGAAGACATTTTCTTCAAGCAGTGGTACAG